TGAAAAACGTTAATATCTGATATTTTGAAGTTTTTAATATTTGTTAGTATCTTAAATTATTGAATGCATACGTTTTTTATGTTCTCAATTTTAAAAAAATTGTGAAGAATTTAGTTTTTTGGAGATGGATGTTTAATATTTGTGAGTGAGAATGCAAGCAGGAGTTTGGTACTTTAAGGCTAGGTTGAGATAGATTTCCCATTATATTATCTGTGAATATATTGTTTGAAAATTCAAGATATAAAAATATATTATCAAAAAATTTTATATTTTTAAATACAATAGGGTGGAAATATAGTACGATGAGATATCAATGATATATTTTATAATGGGAGGTAATCTGAAGATAAGTAGCAAATTTTATGCGATTTTGATTGGGCAAACCCAAATTTTAGCTAAAAGTGACAGGGGAAAAAAACGTTTAGTATTAAAAAAAAGACCGATGAGAGCTTCGTTCGAAATATAGAGGGAACTGAGAATGCGCAACCATTCTCAGGGAATATTGGATGCTATTCCCGTTCTCTCTGTATGGAAAATTGAGGTTTTCAAAGGGAGTTAAAATAATATCAAATTTATACTAATTTACTTCAAAATACAAAAGTATTTGACAGCTAAAATTAGTTACTTTAGCAAGCCGATCAATACCCTTTTACGATTATTGTTACTTTTTCGAAATAAAAGTAAAAACAAATTTATACTAATTTACTTCAAAATACAAAAGTATTTGACAGCTAAAATTAGTTACTTTAGCAAGCCTATCAATACCCTTTTACGATTATTGCTACTTTTTCGAAATAAAATAAATTTATTATCAAAAAACCTTTTTTTCTTAGTAAAAATAAACGAAATTTTTTACCTTATGAACTTTTGATGGAAATATGCAAATTTAAAATAATAAAGAAAGCCGCGAGCGAAGCGATCGGCTTAGTTCGAAGATTTTGATTCAAATCTTTGCTGAGCTGTAATTCGCAGAAGCCGCGAGCGAATCGAGCGGCTTAGGTCTAAGATTTTGATTCAAATCTTTGCTTATATTCCTTAAATTCTTTATGAAACTCGCAACAGTTCCATAAAAAAATTTAAATTCTAAACTGTCGAAATTACCGATCGGTAATCACACCCTTCACGGGTGTGTCACTTTTAGCTAAAATTACCCCTACTCCCGAAAAATTTTTGGTGAAATGCGACGACATTTCACCAAAAATTTTTCGGCGCCATATAGAGAACTATAGTCTGCGAGGTACTGATTCTATCTATGTACCTCGCAGACCATAGTTCTCAGCCAAAATGGCTAATAATTTGAGAGTCTATATGATAATGTAAAAGTTAAAACATTCAAGTATTTAAGTATTTCTTTAAAATATTAAGTTTTTTATTTTTCCAATAAAATTCTAATATCAAATATTTTTATTTAACGATTAATTTTATTTATATTTTTATAGTTTTTTTAAGAAAAAATATTGTTAGGGTTTTATGGATTTTCAATTAATATACAAGATAATTCATGAATGTATATATTTCCAAGTTTTTAAGGATGCAACACTTTACATTTGTAAACTGTCAAAAATGAAGTCACGCTATTTTTCATGCATTACAAGGATTCTGCGAAATGATTTTAGTTAAAGAAGTTAACAATGAAATTGAATTGCATACATTTAAGAAAGGTGATGAATTACCTGAAAATTCAAAAGACTTTCAAATTTATTCATTTATTGTAATTCCTCCAATAACTCATTTTTACATGCAAACACAAGCTTTTTGCGGAATAATTCAAATTGATGGAACGTTTTTATTTTGTATTAAAAAAGGAAACTTACTCATTATTGGTACACCTGCACCAAATAATAGACTTATCCCTATTGCATTTGCATGGTCTGTTAGTGAAAATACGATAACAATTAAGGATATGCTCACTAAATTGAAATCTTTTATTCCACCAAGCAGATTCAAGAATATTTATTCTGATCAAGGTCCGGCAATTATAGCTGCTGTTAGAGAATCAGGCTTTTCTTGCGATCATAAATTTTGCTTACGTCATTTTGCAACAAAAAGGGAATACATCAATGTCTATTCTGTTGTAAACGAAAACGATAAAAACAGTTTGACAAAAAGTGACACTTTACATGGCAAAAATAGAGCCTTACTTTTGAGATACTTGAGATTGAAACTGAATCTTATGAAGCGGTGATCTTGAATCACTACATCATAAGGTTCAGTTTCATATAAAATTTGTTATTCTTTTGGAATTATTTCTTATAAGATTTTACATCTTTTAGCGGGAATGTTTGTTATCATGTATATATTATAAATATTTACACGATAACGAACATTCCTCACTAAATTACTGAGAAACTTTGAGGAAATGTCGAACAATTTCCTCAAAGTTTCTCAGATTTATATAGATAACTAGAGTCCCCTAGGCACTGATTCTGGTTCAGTACCTAGGAGGCTCTGGTTATCTAACGAACTGATAAAATGTTTTTAAATTTTGTGAATAATGCTACCTGTGAAGCACTGACTTCAAATCAGTACCTCACAGGTAGCAATTACATTGAAAGATGTGAGAAACTTTGTCCGAATGTTAAACTATTCGGACAAAGTTTCTCCCATATGTAGTGGAGATGGAAGGCTTTGAGGTATATTGTATTAATATATACCCCAAAGCCTTCCATCTCCACTTGAAAGTATCCAAACTTTGGGTTAATAGTTTGCAATTAACCCAAAGTTTGGACAATTTCTAGAAGGAATTGGAGGGTAAGAGATACTGATGAAATGTCAGTAACTCATGGCCTCCAATTCCTTCCTAAAACTCATAAAAGTGGACCTTACATGCATTTAAAATTTGACATGTAAAGTCCACTTTTTGTGAGCGGGGATTTGACTCCGTCAAATCCCTTTTTCGTTTACGAGAATTCCGAAATTGTTGAAGTCGCTTACGCAGACCATCCTCAAAAACGAATTGACTTGATTAAAAAGTTAGAAACTCGTTTACAAGAGGAATATCCAAACCGCGAAAATAATCAGGATCTCTTTAAGTACTTAGATAGTATTAACCCATTTGAAGGATTCGCTGACTACACCGCTGGCATACTCACAACATCTCTTATTGAATCCCTTAATGCCGAAATTAAAGATAAATGGGCTACATATGAACCCGCCGAACTAATTATCCGTCTCATTAAACATGAATTCAATCTTGTTAAAAATGTTTTAACAGGTGATTTTAAATCAGATAATATTATCAAAAATCTAAATGAAACTTTGAAACATTCAGATATGTTTAGCTCGGTATTATATGATCCAATTCAAGAATTATATTATGCAACTTTTGGTCGCTATACATATTGCGTAAAAATTATGTCAGATTCACAATATTCATGCACATGTAAGCACATCAAATTATACGGATTACCTTGTATTCATGTAATCGCCGTATTGAATCACTTTTCGAACAAAAATCTTCTTAAAAATTTGAATGATGCAGTTCATGCTCGCTTCAAATGTTCAGAGTTTATGACTCCTGTGGAAGATTTAATGAAATTTTATGTTGACCAAGCATCTTTAAAAATTCCCGGAATAAATTTCAACCTGGGAGAGATTGAAAAATTAAGGGGAAAAAGGACTAGGATTAAAGCATTTTACGAAAAGTGATGCTGTGTTGTTAGTTATTTGTTTACTTTTTTTAATATTTTTTAAAAAAATAAAAGAAAATTCAAATAATTTTGTATCTCCCATGATATATCGACCCACGAGTACTAATGTGGCTATAATTAGAGATTGCAACTCTATTATGATCATAGTCCGGTGATATACAATAAGATTCAAATTTTGAAAGAATTAAATTAATAAAATCCGGGTGAAAAAAATAAAAACAGCTTCTAAAAGTATAGTTATCTTAAAATACGAACTTTAACACAAGTTTTTTGATCCAATAGAAAATTGAATTCTTTGAATAAATAAAATATTTTATGTATTAACATATTAAATTTCCTAATTATTTTTTCTTCTTGGGAAAATTTTTGAATTCGAATAGAAAATTCAATAAATTGAAATTGGGTTGAAAGAATTCTCCATATTAACTTGTCATATATTTCAGATCATATAAATTAAGTTAATTAAATTTTTTAAAAACCTTAATAGGATAAAAAAAAGAATTTACACTCTCTCACTTTGAAAACGTAGAAAATGCCAATCTATTGGTATACATTTTAGTTTTGTTAAGTTTACAAAACGATTACTCTAGATTTTAAAGATTTATCAAGAATTTAGAGAATATCCTTCTCAAAACAACTTCAATAGCGAAGGATTAGTATTGAATCGGATTTGTAACATAATTATAGTACATTACAATACAATTTCTCCGACTTTTAAATATTTTTGAAATATTTACAAAATATGCTCTTTCTATCATCGATACTTTAATACAGAGCAAATTTAGTAAATGTCATCACGTTATTTTTTCATAAATCGTTTTCGAACTTTTGAAATATTTATTTTAAACCAGTTTTCTACATTTAATATGTGAATTATATCAAAAGTAGATGGGCGATACTTGTAAATCTATTTAAACTATTAGTTTGCTATTATTGAAGAACTTTATAATTTTTTTTCTTATGTATGGAATTAAAGATAATTTTGCCGATTCCAACTGGTTTTTCTATATGAGTTAAATATGCCAAGTGAAATTGGACTTGCCAATATTGTAAATTGAAGTATGGACTATATATAAATTTTCATTGATTGATGAATAACTCGGAGTAATGTAATTGTTGATAATGAAAAATAGTTTTCAATTGCTGGTAAGGGCCAATGTATGTTCAATAGCTCCGAAAGCAAAAAATGCACGTTTAGAAAAAGACGATAACGATTAAATTACAAAATCGATAACGACGACGATTAAATTACAAAATCAATAATGACCCAGCCAAAAGGGTAAGCTTAGTGCCATAGAGGCTGTAATAAGTTTTGTCTTGAGTCATTGTTAAACCACGGTTTCCACCATATCAATTAACTTTAGCTCTATCATTGTCAATGATCTGGACATCCGTGTGTGAAGCTAAAGAAACACGATGTGGCTCGGTATCATTATTTGTAAATATCCATTGAATGAGCATGTAATTATCGCCTAATGGTTGGGATAATTTGGTTTTGACATGAACATTTTGTGAAGAAGCTTCACCATTGTTTCTTCCGAGAATGTAGACTAAATTTCCATCATCAACCTTGAAAGCAGGCCACCAGCCATAGTCAGCAAAAGATGTTGAATAGTAATGACCGTTAGAAACGTATCTAATATCAAAATCGGAACGCCATTCACCCCAAGTCAACTGGTTTACATAATGCCATGAGAGAGTTCCGCCTGAATATACGTGCTGTGAAAGCAAGGAAAGAATCAGCATCTTTAAAAATGAAATGATTTTATTTATTCGTTTCTTGCGGCGGTTTCTATGAAAACTTTCGAATATTTTGAGAGTATAAAAGCCATATCTTCTCTCAATTCACTAAAATTAAAGGTTATCAATTATCGATTAAATATTCTCGAATGCATATTCTTGTTTTGTATAACATACAAAATATGGCCAAAATAAAAAGACAATAAAGCAATTCTAAAGGACAAAATAAAGAATTGAGCATATATAAAGCAAGTCTATGTTAATAACAAACCAAATAGTTTGATAAAAATATCTGCCAATGAAAAACGGTTATTTTCCATCAAAAAGTGAATATTTTAACCTATTATGAACTAAATTTAATTACCAAAATGGTTCGTAATTCGAAATTTACAGGTCAAATTATGATCGTAGCAAAACCTGTATTGCAAATTTGATGAAACTCAAAAATTATCCCATGAATTATAGATACAAGGTGATGTGATTTTTGCATCCCTGGGATGGACGATACACCCAAAATGTCACCTTTTTGGGATAACAAAATTTTATGTGTTATTAGAGTTCTGCAAACCATATGCACAATATCTATTCAGCCTGACTTCTTGTATATAGGAGTCTGGCTGAATAGATATTGTGCATGTGGCAATATAAGTAATTCCGAGATTACCATCGTGAGCTATAGTACACTACTTCTCCTTGGTCCTAGCTCAGTTCCAAGGATATCAGTGTTCAAGGATTTGGCAAGGTCCTTCTGAAGTCTCTCATTCGATGAGAGATTTCGGAAGAACCTTGCCTTAAAGTATTCCAACTCTTGTTCTCTTGTTCCTGAATAGTCAGAAAAGTTATTTGACTACTTAAGGCAGAGATTATCCGAGGTCCCTCATTTGATGAGAGGCCTCGGATAATCTCTGCCTTAAAGTTGTACACTTGTAGTCAATTAGAATGTAAGTATACACGGATAGGACAGCTTTCTTCTGAAGTCTTAGATTTGATGAGAAGCCTCAGAAGAAAACTGTCCTATCTGATAATAAAAGGAGTTTCAGAAGCTCCAGAGCTCCCTTTCGTAAGGAATGGGAGCTTTGAAGCTCCTGGTTCGAAGATGTGCTTAGTTAGTATACATATCTTGGGTACGGCGGCACTGCATTCCACCTTACCCAAGATAACGGTTTGACACTTTACGAAACCGGTAACGTATATTTTACAACACAAACACAAACACTAACTTAACCTTAAATATTTACAAAGCCGCCAACCACTTCACCTCACTAACATTTTCGCTAACGACTTCACTAATGAAAAAATAAACGTTCTCACTAACGTTCCCACTAATGTTCTCATTTACAAAAGTATTGCAGCGCTTCCCATTGCTGTGCTTCACACAATAGTTCATATTCTTCAGTATCGCTGCTGTCACTCCAATCGTCAGAGTCAAAGTCACTGTCAAAATAAATGTTAGTAAGTTTTGACAAAGCTAATGAAACACGCTTACCGTTTGTATCTATTGCTTTTATATATCTCCCATTATGTTTGTTGTCATAAACGCTCAAACTAACTTTACCCTTTCTCCCTCGTATCTGATAGAATGTATTTTCACGAGGAACGAAGAACAAATTCTTGAACTCATGACCGTTGTAGTTTGTTATCTCAATAGTTTTCGTCATTACATCCAAAATAAAATAGAAAATAAACTTAAAAAATAAACTTAAAAAATTTATAAAAAATCAGCCATTAGAACAGTCAGTCAGTCAGTCAGTCAGTGACTGTTCTACAAAAATATTTCATACACGACAAAAATAATTTTGAAGTTTACTCCTCTCCATTGCTTTATAACTCTCTTCCTTTCTCCAACTCTTCTAACTTCTTCTTAAGTTCAGCAATGTTGTCCTCATGAAGTTTAATCTTTCTCAAAATTCCTTCTTTATCTAATGGTTGCTTTATCTTTCTAAACTGAACTCTACCATCCTTCATAGTATGAATGTAAAAACCTTCTGGAATAGTTCCTGATTTAATGTATTCTACCAAAAACTTTTGTTTCATTGCTTCAGTGACTTTATTTGTCATTTCAATCAAATAAAAATTTTAATATTAAATAAAAATAACGTTATTTTTTTCAGTAATGAAACGCAGGAGTTTTACGATTTATTTGAGGAGTAGGTTCTGGTTTAAATGTTGGAGTCGGTTTAGGAGTTGACTTTTGAACAGGAGTTTGTACTTCCATAGGTTCAGGAGTCATTGAAAGTTTTGCTTGTGAAGGCGTTGGTTTTGACGAAGGTGTTGGCGAAGGTGTTGGAGTTTGTTTAACTTCAGCTACTTCAGTATTATTTACAACATTTGCTTTATTTCTTTTCAACATCATAACTGCTCCTGCTGTAGCTAGCAAACCTAGTGGGAGACCATATCTTATATAAGGACTTGACCAAATGCTATTTTTGACAGGAGCTGGTGGAACACCTAACCTTGGTGAGACTGCTCTTTGCCATTGTGCAGCTCGTAAGAAATATTCAATAGGTGCTCCATAATCGTTTGGTAAAGTTTGTTTAATAGATGGTGAAGGTTCACGAGAGCTTGATGAAGAACTCATTTATAAGCTTTAAAAATAAACGTTCATCCTTTATTCCTCACTGTCGTCCGTAGCTAAGTTATAGTCATCTAATCTTATTATGGGGATGCCATTAGCACGCACCTGAATGGCAAAGCAACAATCCCTCATAAATCCAATAAGTGGCTTTGGTACATTTTCAGTTGCTAGTTCAATAGGTCCTTTAACAGACAATTTGTATGTTATTGGAGCAGTAGATGTTTGACCTTGCTGGAAGCAAAAGTCCACTTCTGTTGGAAAACCACATAAGAAATGTGTGTTGTCATAGCTATCCCATTTATGTTCCACACTACCATCATCCACCAATGACCTCATAACATCTTCATTAAATCCTATCATATCATTGTTTGTATTGCAGGCGTTCGCAACCATTTCATAAAATACAGGTCCATATGATTTTTCAGGTTCTGCAGGCATATTTCCATAAGCTCCCATGGAAAGCTGAAGATATTTAAACTTAGGGTTCTCAAAATTAACATAATAGTTGTCTTTCTTTCTAAATAGTGCCCAAATACTTTTAACATTAATAGGCGTATAAGCTGCTGTAAATGTTGCACTTGAACTATCTGTATTCTTTGAGAATGAACCGTCCATAGGAATCCAATCCATAACTTTAACAGGAAAACATAAAGCCTCGTTTGTATAATGTTCTACAAGTTCTGTATAAATGTTAGGGTCTAAAGAGAATGACTTTGGATGAATGAAACATTCATTAAAATCCATCTTTGTTCGAAATAGTTGCTGGGTTACAGTTGTAATAGTAACTGTTCCACTAGCTTCTACTGACTTCGTTATCATAGTGAATGGTTCATTCCATGGAACAAATTTATTTGTCGGTGGATTTGAATCTGAAACAAATGCAACTTTAAGAGTTGGATTGAAAGCAATGATATCATTTACAGATATAGATGTGCATTGTAAGGCGTCGCTACTGAACTTTACTTTAAGCTGAATGTTTCCTGCAAAAGCTGGAATAAATCGAATAGCTTCTAATGGAAGGAATCTTCTAACAGGAATTCTTAAACGAAGCTTAAAATCAAATGATTTTCCTGCTGTAATTGGACCACTAACAATTTGTCCTGTTCTGCATGTTCCCGAATGACTCCATACATCTTCATGTCGAGTCTTTGAGAAAACATCTACTTTCTTTATTTGTTCGGTAGTTTGTGAGTTTGAAGTTATATATGCTTCTTCTCTTGCGTTGTCTTGAGAATATACGATACGACCATTTGCAAGGATTTGATATCCAGCAACTGCATAGAAAGCGTCATCGAAACCAATCCAAAATCCTGGTGGGTTTGTTTTATTGGAACCTGAACCAATTTCTTTATCTACAATAAATTGACCTTCCATTTTATACGTAATGAATGTATTGTAAAGGTCCAACATATTTTCACCAGGAGGTGAGAGATTGAATGTTACCCATGTGTTATCTTTAGCAGTTCCAGGTTGTGATGGAATCTTTGCGTCAGAATATTTTCTATTAGTGTCACCAATTTGAACTGCATTGTCTATGATATCGAAATATGAGCGAATCTGATGAATATGCTCTGCTGGAGTAAATTCATTTAGCTGTTCGTTCTGCATGTATTTACTTCAGATAAAAATATCTATTTACTTCATTATTCTCACTCTTCTTCTTGGCATTCGTGGTGGAAGTTGTTTCTTGACATTTTCAATGAACTGTACATTCTCTTTTGTCTCAACTTCTTTCACTGGTGGGTCAGGGTTCTTTGACTCGGTTTGTTTTTCAATGAAATTCGCGAACTTTGCAATAAGCTCTTGGTTCGTTATTGAAAGTACATCTGGCTTCTTTTCTTCTTGTTCTTTTGGTGGCTCAGTTTGAACAGAAGGTTTTATATGGGCTTCGCCCTCGGTGCCATGCACCTTAATGTTGTCGCTTTCTGCATTCGCTAATGGAACCTTTCTTTTTCTTACGTATATTTTACCATCTTTACTCTGACTTACGTAATAGAAAGGATGTTGTATTCCTCTTGCGTCATTTAATATAATAGACTCTCGCTCTGATTTTGACAAGCTCATTTTACATCGGTTAAAGTTTTAATTTTGTTTTTTATCTGCAGTCAAATGACTCAGACAAGCCCTACGGACAAGACCCAAGGGGTCATAGATGTTGAAGCATTGAAGAAAGAAATTCGTGAGCAAATTTTATCCGAACTGAAGGAACAAAAACAAGAACAAAAGCCAGAGAGACCAAAGAGAAAACTTAGTGAAAAACAACTAGCTGCATTAGCTGCTGGAAGACAGAAGAACCCACGTTTGCTGGCGAAGAAAGCTAGAGAAGAAGCTGAAGCAAAAGCTAAAGAAGCTGAAGCAAAGAAAGAGTAAATGGTTTATTTTTATCCGAATTAAATGTATAGACAAATACCTTTATCTGTTGCGTTCAGTAGTGAAAACCCTGACGTCAAAATAAAGGGGAACAGAGTAACGTTTAAGTTTCCAACAGACTGGATTGTGAACATAAATGAAGAGAAGTACATTGGCATAACAAATATGTATATAACACGTGCTTTCAGAAAGGTTGACTTTATACTTCAAGTCGAGATAGAAAATGACGAACAGTCTTTAAGCGCCCAAAACATTCACATATACAAATACTTTAAAAACAGTACGACGTTAGAAGACTGTATAATTACATTTTACGAAAATTTTCAAAAGAAGTTTAACATTGAAGTACAAACTTTACAGCCTTTACGTGAGTTTCTTGCACAACTGAAAGAAGAAGGAATTGTAGAAAGATTAATAGCTTTTCATTACGAGTTTGTACCAAAAGAAGATGGAACTCATGACTGTCAGTTTGTTGTATTCTCACCATTCAATGAAGTCGCTAAAGAGAAAGAAAATCCATTACGTATAAGATTTCAAATCTCTGAACCAAGTGATGATTTCAAGAATGTTTTCAATTATGATGCAATGCTTCCGAGGAAAAATGAATTTTCCGAAATTAGATTTCCAGGTATTTGGGATAGAAAGCAAGCTATATTATATTCAAACTTAAGTAAGGGAGTTGAAAATGAGTTCATTGGTCATACAAGAACTTCACCACTTCCTAACCCTAAATACTATAAATTAACTGGCTTCAATCGTGAGTTTTGGATAGACATGTTCTCCACTCATGACCATAAAGCACCAGTGTTCTTACCTCCAGACCATAAGGACTGTCTCTACATTGAAGCACAACTCTTAAACTCTACCATCGCGGTATTGTAAAATCTACGCTAGTTTTATTTTTATCACGAATGACCTCATTGCTGACAAAAATAAATGACCTCAGAACTTCAACTTACGAATAAAGCTTGTTTTAGTCGTTATTGAGAAGTTAAACTTTTCAGCAAAGCAAGGTTGACATGACTTACATAAGTCAAATCCAATCTCTTGACCGTCATAAAGTGCTTTATATAACTTCATAACACTGAACTCAGAGTCTTTGTCAAATTTTCCTTGCGGAACCATTAAACCTTTATCTTCATCATTGAAACACTGAACAGAGTCAGGAAACATTTCATTAGCGGTTAAAGCAATAACATCTTGCTTCACGCCTTTCATTCTGCAGTGAAATGCAACTTCATTTAAATCATTCGTGAGTAAGTCTATGTAAGTCTTCTTTCCACAAAATATTGACTTGTATGCTAAACTTTGTTTATCTTTTGTGATTTCTGCAAAGTCGCTATGAAATTGACCCCGACGTTATTTGAGCAAAAATATATTTTTGAAGAACTGAAAGTGTCACCACGTCACCATGTCACCAGGTTATTTAACTTCTTTTAAAAATGATGACAACATGACATTTAGACAACAGGTACGAAAGGAGGAAGACATTTATGAATTATTTTTGAAGAACTGAAGGTGTCACCACGTCACCATGTCACCAGGTTATTTAACTTCTTTTAAAAATGATGACAACATGACATTTAGACAACAGGTACGAAAGGAGGAAGACATTTATGAATTATTTTTGAAGAACTGAAGGTGTCACCACGTCACCATGTCACCAGGTTATTTAACTTCTTTTAAAAATGATGACAACATGACATTTAGACAACAGGTACGAAAGGAGGAAGACATTTATGAATTATTTTTGAAGAACTGAAGGTGTCACCACGTCACCATGTCACCAGGTTATTTAACTTCTTTTAAAAATGATGACAACATGACATTTAGACAACAGCATGGGTTGAATGCAAAAATAAATTCCAATCATACTTTATACTGCAAGACCTTCAGGTCTCGCCGCTTAGCGGCTCATTTACAGGTATTTCATCGTCAGTAAATGAATCATCATTATCGTTTGGTTCAACCTGTTTATATAATCCTTTCATTTCTTCTTTCAAAACATAACACCATGTTTGTTTACCGTCTATTCTTCTCTGTTTCCTTTCACATTTATCCTTAATGCTCATTTGAAAGTTTTTGTCTTTCATGTCTGATGGTTTGCAGAATAGAGCATTTTCACACGTCATACCTGCACACAATTCATCATAATGTGTATTTATCCATACATCTAAAGGATTTGTTGATAATTCTATTAAATCTTGTTTGGCTTCAGTCATCGGTATGATTCGTACATTAAATGATGAAAGGTCATATTGCATAAAATATGTTAAAAGGTTATCATAAAATTCCTTTGTGCATGAATTCATCAAATTCTTGAAATAATCAAATTGACCCTTGAATTTACCATTAAATCTTAAAACTACGTATCTTCTGTCTCCAACTTCAATTTTGACAGGGTAAACGTTATTAGTTACGAAAATGAAGTTTGCAACGTTCTGAGCAGTTCTTCTGGGTTGATTCTTTTCATTAATTCTAATCTCATTATCCGTAATAATTGATTTCAAAGCGTTGAAGTTTGCGAGTCTATCTTCACCAACATTCTTGAGTTCATTAAGTACAAGAAACATTTTATTCTCAACTACTGAATTGAAATTACCCGTTAGCTCACTTATTTCAGTAATGTTTTTACATGAATAACCAGCGAGAAGTTCAGAAATAATGTCTGTAAATCTGTTTTTACCTGTTCCCTGAAGTCCTTTCAAAATAATTGCTGTTTCATTCTTGATTCCAGGATGTTGAATCATTGATGCAATCCAGCCGAGTAGGTATTTATACACTTCATCGTTATTATCACAAATGGCTTCTTTAATGAAATTCATAAACATCTCAATTTTTGAGTAATCTGGTTTTTCGAGAATGTTGTATTTATAACCTTGAAACGTTGAGAAAACATCTGGGGAATCAGATTTAAAGCAAACACCCTTAACGGTTAATGAAGACAATTGATTTAATAGTACGTCTCATGCTGTTATTGTTTTACCTTCTTCTTTAAATAATTTAATCATTTTAAGTGACTCTTTCATGTTTGATTGAAGAACGAATGATATTTGATTCATTTTGTCGTGGATATTATAGTCCTTTTGAATGAAATATTTATTTCCACAATCTACAAAACGTATTACACGTGATAAATCCTCAATTACATCAGAACTGTTTTTATACTGATGATTTTCAGCCTTGCGTCTAATATCTGTTATCAAAAACGAGTCATCAAGTTTTATATCAAATGTTATTTTTGGCTTACGTAATAAAGGTAAAACGTATTCATCATAATATTTAGGGTTGTTAAAAATATCAAAAATTAGCGTTTTGAAGACACCATGGTGTCTTATAATTTTCCCTTCCTTATTGGCGTGTAGAAATAAATGCGCCAATAGATTGAAGAAGAAGAATTGTTTTTCTCTTAATGAACTTTAATCCTTTTGATATAAGAATATTAAAAACATTAATATAATTTCGATTTCGGAAATTAAATTTCCAAATTTTTTGTCGATTTCGGAAATAACAGGATCCCGCATCCAACACGCAACAACAAAACACAAAACACACTTTTTGGTTCTTTCATCGTTTTAATCGTAATTTATGTAATACATGATTTGGATAAATTTTACAAAAATAGAACCTATATTATATTCTTTTCAAAGATTCTTGCAAATCATCAAAAATAATTGTATTTTAAAAAACAATCAAATTATCCTTTCATTATTTTAAACTTAAATTAGTTTTTATGATTGACTAAAGCAATCATATTTATTCATCATTAAATAAACAAAAAAATAATATTTGAGAGTTATTTCAAAAAAAACACATTGAATTTATTAATTTGTCTCAATTTCAGTATTATAAATTTTTATAATTTCAATATTTTGAAATACACTTTTTAATATTTCAATATTTATGATATTTCAATGTTTTAAGTGGTCTCAAATTGAGCTTCTCAAATATAAGTTGGCCTATTCAAATAATAAAATTAAATAATATTTAAAATAATAAATAAAAGTGATTGAGGTCATAGCAAAACGGCTGTTTGGAGGCAGTTAGGAGCTAGCGGTTGAAGCGATAACATTCACGAGTAGGTGACAAAAGTGCATACTCTTAAATTAACCTTAAATGTTGATTTTTCGATATTTTCGGTATTAACCTTATTGTAAATTTTTCCGGTGATAAATTTATCACACTGAGGTTATTTTTCCGGTGAGATTTTTAACCTTGATTTAATGAAATTAATATATATAAATTTTATTATTTTTAATTTCGAATGAGTATAATAAAATATTTTTTATGTGTTTTTGTTTTTGATGTGATTTGAATTTTGTTAACTCTTTTCAAAATCCCTTCATTTTTATGATTTCGGTGGACTTAGAGGAGCTTATTGCTTTTGGTATTAAACAGGAAGTCAAGGGCGGTGTCCCATACAGAAGAAGAACGGGATCTCCAAAGCAATATGTCACTTATTCATGTTCGTATCCCCTATGCAAGGCAAAATTTAGGGTTGAAGAACAAAATGGAGTGTTTACTATAAGCAAAGTTAATGAAGAACATTGCCATCATATAGGAGTTGAAATGGGTTCACATTACGCGAGTAAATTTTATCAAAAATGGATCGAACTTTATATTAAAAACGGTGGAAAGCAATTTCTTGCTCAAAAAGCATTTTTTGATAAGTTCGGAATTGATACGAATAACAAAGAAACGATGAAACTTTTCGCGCAGTCTACTGATGCTTTAAAGCACAAATTTTATCGCCTTGATGAGATTATTGCACAAAGATTATCAAACGATCCTTACACTTCTTTGGAAGCATTTTTGAATAATTTACAGGAAGAGTGCCCAGATGATCTCGTTCAATTTGATTACAATGGAGATTTTTCCGAGTTTACAATCATATATGCACCTTTTGCTGCAAAAGAATTGGTGCATAGCATTGATAACCCTCTCCACGTCGATTCCACTCATTCTTTAATTAAAGGAAAGATCCAATTGTTTGCAGTAACAATGAAAACAAGTCAAAACACAATTTTCCCCTTTTGCTATTTTTTAGTGAACCCTCAGACATCTGAAAAAATTCAAGAATGTTTGGTGAAATTCTGTGAGTTTGCGCACCTGGATCCACAGCATTGGAGCGCTGACTGTGCGCTAAACATTGCTCGCGCAATTGAGGACGGATTTCCTCTTGCGCAGCTCAGTTGGTGCGCTGTGCATGTTTTACGCGCATGTGCAAAAGTTGGAAGCTATTTTGACAATCCACAGAATTTTGAGAACTTCTATTTAGCAATGGACTTTTTGACATTACGTGCAGATGCAACGAATGCAGAAAAGCTGGCTGAAGAGTCTGATGAAACATATGAGTTCTTGACAACAATGTTAGAAGAAGAAGAACCGCGCGCTTTGAAGTATTTCGATAAACAATGGAGAAGAACCAAAGAACATTGGATGATGTTATATCGTGGAGAAGGTGATTCCACGAATAACATTGCGGAATCACACTTTCATCAATTAAAGCAAACATTTTTCTTGGGTAAGAAAAATGAGCGCATTGATGACATCGTCATAACTCTCATCACTGTTGTGATTCCAAATGCGATTATTAAGGTTCAAGTCGCTAATGTTTTGAATGAAGAAAGAGCAGTAAGAATTCTTACAAGGGCAGGTAATCAGATTGTTGAGCAAAGAGCTTCAAAACACGATGAATGTTTGAAATTAATTCAACACATTTTGGAAATTGTCGAAAGCCGAAGGATTGAACCTAATGTCCTTATTCCATCTTTGAAGGCAATATTAAATTTGGCACAAAGAAGTTTAAAGGAAGAGTAAGCAAGATTAGATAATTTGGACTTTTTTTAAAATTAATGAATAAACAGTATATTTTTGAAGTGTAAGCTTATTTACCTGAAGCTATATTACTTAATATAACATTCAAAGTATTATTGCTATTTATTGGAGAACAAATTTATGTAATTTTCACATGAAAATTGATAAATTTGTATTTCCTTATGATAATCAATTTTTGTATTTGTAGAGAGTCTCCCTGCATGATATCAAGACTTGGCTATTGGTCTTTATCCATTTTTGAAAATTGTATTGTAAATTGTAAGAATTTCTGAATACTACTACTATAAAATATAATTGCTTATCTATGTATATTCTCTCTGCATGATATCAAGACTTGGCTATAAGTCTCTATTCATTATGAGTATGACCCCATTTTTTTACAAAAAGTGCCGAATTGCAACTTTGTCCCAATCTCATAAATAAAAGTGATTGAGGTCATAGCAAAACGGCTGTTTGGAGGCAGTTAGGAGCTAGCGGTTGAAGCGATAACATTCACAGCCAACATCTACGGTCAAGCGGCAGCATTCAAGGGCAACATCTACAATCAAGCAGCAGCAAGGAGCTACGGCAGCAACGAACTACGGCAGCAAGGGGCTACGGCAGGTCAAGCGGCATCATTCAAGGCCAACATCTACAATCAAGCTGCAGCAAGGAACTACGGCAGGTCAAGCGGCATCATTCAAAGCCAACATCTACAATCAAGCAGCATCAAGGGGCGAGAGTAGGTCAAGCTGCAGCATGGAGCTACAGCATCAAGGAGCTACGGCAAGTTAAAGATCAGTCAGATCTGGAAATACCTTTTTCAGGATTTCATTTGTCATGAAAAGCTTCAATAGGATTCTACACTTTATTAGATCTTCACGTGCGTTTTGATTAAACCTATTACGCAGGTTCCGCACAATTGAAATCATTCTTTCCACATCAGCTTCGGTTGCAGCAATAGACATGAATTTTAAGGCAATCTCTTTCAATGCCTTGAAATTTGCATCACATGCTACCCAAAACCTTTGATCCAAGCAGGTGAGGTCGGTGTTGTTCCTGATTTCACTCTCATTCATATGTGTAAAGTTGGAAAGAGCTTTCTTGTACTCATTAGCTATGTTCTTGGCCGAACTTCTCTTGTAGAACCTCGCTTCTGCTTCTGCACGTCTCGAAAGCATCTCGATCATAAAATCGTTGAAGCTGTACTCTTCCACTTCTTGCATTGACAGAGACGCCCATTCACCAAGGTTCCTGCCTAGTCTCCTCCTTGGTTCATTCTCTTCAACTTCTTCATCCTGAGCAATGTCTTCTGCATCTACTTGGCCATCACCTTCAATTGCTTCGTTCTCAATCTCGGGCTCTTCTATATCTAGATTTCTGTCCAATTGATCCTCTGCCACTTCATCCAAATGATCAGGGGTGTAGCTCCTTGGAGGGATTTCAAGTTCAGCATTGATAGGTATTGGTTCTTGGAAGAAGAGTGAAACGTCTGGCTTGTACTCAGTATGCATGTTCAATTCTGCGCGGATGACTGACCGGCCCCATGGAGTTAGACCAAAGGCAAATTTCATCAAAGCGTAGTTGCCCTGTTTGTCAAAAACTTCATTCATGTTGGCGATTAATGCATCTGCAATGCGCTTTGACGAACTTGATAATTCAGGACGATTTGCAATTCCGGTCAACTGCTCAATCGTCGATTGAAACATTGGATAGATGTAGCAGAAGCAGCCAACGTCACTCTCTGCATAATTCAAGAGTTTCTTGATTGGTAAAAGAATCTCTTCGAAATTTAACAACCATTGTGGAAGTCCATCCTTGAAATCAATTCCCATATCCCTTAAGATCTGAACAGATTCCGGTGGATCATCCATATTGAACAATTCATAAATTTTAGGGTGTTTTTCTTTTATCCACTTCAGAAGATCCCAGAAAAACATCCAGCGATGATCCGGAACATGAATAACCCTCATATTCAATGCCCTTCTCGTGTCCGGCTTCGATAACTCCTTGCTTATCGCTTTGCAATAATTAATTTGCATTGCGAAAGCTGCACAATTGTCTGCCGTATGCTTCACCACTAAGTTGAGGAGATGCGCAACACATCGGATATAAACGGTTTGAAGACCCGGATATAGTGCTCCGCATCTCCTCCAGTGGCACAGCCCTTTAACTTGGGCGGGGCATCCATCGGCAACAATTGCAGAAAGGAAATCCTTTGGGAAGGTAAAACATTCAAAGAAATTATTGTAATCCCTGGCATTCCAACCATCAGCGATCATAGTATCAATGAAGATATGGTTCTTCATTTTTGCTGGATTGCTAGCCATCACAAAAAAGCCATGCCGGCTTCCGTGTGATGCCGCATCAATTGTTATCGAATAGTAGCCCATCTTGTCAAGCTCAACGTGTATTTTTGGAGCTACCAAGTCGGCTAATGTAATGATTCCATCCCTTATCTCGTCTCTTCTATATGGGATCTTGAGTTGAAAATTGATTACTCCCTTGAAGGTGGAGTAGACATGTCGGGCGAAATCTTCTAGTACACCTGAAGCGGCCATATTGATTGACATGTTGGTATCCACAACAAATTTTACAACATAAAGTAATTTTCTATCTTGTTTTATTAAATCTCTTCTCGTATATGGATTATTTTCACATTGTATTTGATATATATGCTGATGATCTTCATCAAATTCTGATGGTTTTCGATGATAAATGCAGCGCATATATGTTTTTGTTAGTAAATTGTAATGTATCGCTAAACAATAACAATAAAGTCTTTTTCGTTCTTTCGATTTTTCGCTTGTATCTGGAAGATAAGCAATATTGAAGCATACTCGACATTTATTATTAGTTGAGAATTTAGTATCCTCGAATTTTGGTAAGGGAGGTACTTTTCGAGGGATATTTTTGGGAGGAAGTTTGCAATCAATCCATCCCTCAAATTTGGATTCATATTCATCTTGTGTTTCAGTCATTAATTCTTAAAAATAAAAAGGGTAAAAACTAAATAAAATGGGTGAAATTCAATAGGGAAAACCGCAACCACTTTTTTAAATCGCGATTTTTTAGAAAAATCGCGACTTTTTTAAAATCGCGTTTTTTAATGAATTGCGATTTTATTGTGGTCGCGATTTATATGGAAAATCGCGTTATTGGTTCAATCTAAAGATCATTATTTAAAAAGTGAACTAAAAAATATAAATATAAGAATAAAATAAAAATTGTAATAAGAATGTTATAAAAAGTTTTTTTAGAGTTGAGTTGCCGATAGGCTTGAGCAAATGTATTTTTATTGCTAAAGGTTTTTTTTTGTTAGATTTATGTAATATTTTTTTAGTTAAAGGTAAATTATGATTAATTAGTGCAGTAAAGTAAGACTTCAAGAATTTTGACCAGTAAAGTGGGATTGAGGTATTTGTTATCGAGATTGTTTGATTTTAGATCTCTGATTTCGGCAAGTATGCAGAAAAACCATATTGTGAGCAGTCTAAAATGGATAAACAGCCATTCTAGATTCAAAAAATCTTTGTGAATTGCTTTGTTATTGAATTTAATTGCGACCTTTTCGCTTAATGAGGTCCAAAATCATGGTTCCGATTTGTTCTATGTTCGCGATTGATAAAGAAAATCGCGTTTAATTTTGATCACAATTTTCCATAAAAATCGCGATTTTTTAGAAAATCGCGACTACAATAAAATCGCAATTCATTAAAAAACGCGATTTTAAAAAAGTCGCGATTTTTCTAAAAAATCGCGATTTATATATTTAAATCGTGATTAAAAAAAGTGGTTGTGGTTTTCCCTAATAGTGTCTGTGCTATCGTTCAATTTGAAGGTGTCTTTTGAAACCGCAAGACACATTGAATTTTTGAATAGTGTATTATGGTTTGACAGACACCAATGAAAAAAATAAAATGATATTTATTTTAAATATATAAGATCCTTATATAAAATATAAATATTTTATCGTTTTATTTTCTTGTTTTAGAAATGTTTTTTATTGAAAAATCAATAAAACTAACTCCAAAATAAAATTTTTGATTTAAAGACACTATGATGACACCAGGCAAATCTTCCAAGACACCTATCGTCGGGAATCTAACAACCCTAATAATATTCCTTTTGATATAGTTTTAGAATCTTCACCAAAACAAATGGAGAAGTCATTAAATGTGCATATCTACTACGTGCTTTTTCAAAATTACTTTTTGCATTTTCAGTTAAACTGCAGAAGTTATAAACGTTATCGTATGCTTCATTAATTAAATGATTAGGTAACGAATTAATAGCTTGAAACAGTGTGAATAATGTAACTTCTTTTTCTAAATTCATGTTTCCACCGTCATTATGTACTTCAAAATCACTAATACCATCGACTATGCTTTGAGCTAGTTTATCGTCAATGTTTACATCTTTGTTTTCATTCATTATACTCTTTATTTCTTCATTCTTCTGTTCAACTCTTACCTTAATATTCAAATCATTTAATATATCATTCACTGTTCTAGTTAATGTTGAATCATAACTTCCACGAATGAATGAGTATGTTTTGATTGGTTCTGTTGCATTCTTGCGAACTCTTGAATCAGCCATAACTACTAAAGAACGCTTTGAATCATCCATTGAAGTCATTATATCAATATCATAATCATTGCAGGAATAACATTTAATCATTCTGTTCGAAACTGCATAGAAGAAATTAGTGTTGCAATAAATGTGAAGACCTCCTGAAGCGGTTTTAACGATAACATCTTTATCCGAAAGTTTTGATAGAATGTCTTTTCTAACTGTTTCTTTAAGTTCATCATTGTACGATTTATTGATATCAACATCTATAATCGTTAAATTCGAAATTTTATTTACTAATAAAGCCGTACCAGTTTTCCTTCCTCTTCCTCCATCGTGTTTGAGGTAGTTATGTAAATCAATCTTGTTTTCACCAATTCTTTCGTTGAGGGTTTTAGTTTCTGCCACAACTAATTCCTCAGCTAATGAATCAATAACTTTTTCATCAGAAACGATATAGTTGCTGTTGTTGTTTGTTGCTGTCATTTATATAGGAATAAAAAAATAAAAATAATTTTAAAACTAACTTTATTTTTGGACTGCATCAAATTTCCTGGACTGTTGTCAAAATGTCATGTTGTCATCATTTTTTAAGAGAAGTTAATTAACCTGGTGACATGGTGACGTGGTGACACTGAAAACATTTATGAAAACATTTACGAAACATTAACGTAAACATTAACGATAAAATTTATTTCCAGGACTGTTGTCAAAATGTCATGTTGTCATCATTTTTAAGAGAAGTTAATTAACCTGGTGACATGGTGACGTGGTGACACTGAAAACATTTATGTTAAAATAAATGGTACCATTAATGATATCATGACTGTTCTCATTCATGTCTGATTTACATCTAATGAAAAAGTTTAGAAGAATTTTCTTATTCTTTCTGGCTTATTTTTGTCTTTCCAGTACTCCCGCTCTAATGGTCCCAGATGTGTTGGCTTTGACTCTCTCAAGTTCTTAGATGGTATAACATCTTCAACGCCTCCTTCATATCTTACTTTATAAGTGTCATCGTTTATGTTGTAGCCAAGTATTTCAATAACCACTCCTCGCTTTGCTTCGTCAATGGTTTCAGCAAGTTTGCCATTACTACTTTCAACTAATTGATGACGAGGATAAAACACAATAGAGTCGTCGGCAGCTTTTATAAGATATCCATTACCTTGCGTAGAGTCTACGATATAATAATTTCTACTTAACCTTAAACGTTTCTTTGTCAACGGTTTGTCGTCAAGAACTACACGAACTTTTGTACCAGGAATGAGGGTAAATTGTGTTGAATTTCTGATATTTTGTGTTTGACTTCGTTTCTTTTGTATATACTTTTCTTCTTGTTGTTGTGTCATTGAATTTGGTGTATGTCCTGTTGTAGAATGTGTTGAGGAATTATATACTTCGAGAAAGTGTTTCATTGTTTCTTCGGTAAAGTCTCACTCTTGGTTTAAATCTCTGAGCGTTCTTATGAAGCGGTTTATGATGCCGAGTATGTTATGGTTATGGTCTTCAGTAGTGTAGTGAGTTATGTTATGCTTAATGAGAAATTCTGTGATTTCATTACTGAGGTATGCACCGTCTTGGTCTGATGTTAATGAAGTGGGATGATGTTCTGCCACGAACGTCTGCAAAACTCTTAAAACTTCATGAGTTCCTTTATTCCTCATTGGATATGCATATGCTTTGCGAGTGTTAACATTAATGAAGATGAGGAATGGTTTATGTCCTCCTTTTCTGCTTTGAATGAGAGTGTCAAATTGGTATGCGTCAGGAGCGTTGGAGTAAATTGGTAAAAAGTAGTCGTAAGGGTTTATTTTTGTTTGATGGCAGAAACATTGCTGGTAGTTCATATGCTTCAAAGTTTCTGGCATGACCTTCAATGTTCATACATCTGTTATCTAAATTGTTTAGTGTATCTTTTACGCTTGTACTCGGATTCTCTAAAGGTGCACTTGAACCAAGGGTATAGTTCAATATTATGTCGTCTGCTCTAACAGTAGTGAAGGATTTATGTGTATGGTTCTTGTCAGCTTTCTTATCTAACATTGCTGGTAGTTCATATGCTTCAAAGTTTCTGGCATGACCTTCAATGTTCATACATCTGTTATCTAAATTGTTTAGTGTATCTTTTACGCTTGTACTCGGATTCTCTAAAGGTGCACTTGAACCAAGGGTATAGTTCAATATTATGTCGTCTGCTCTAACAGTAGTGAAGGATTTATGTGTATGGTTCTTGTCAGCTTTACTATTTAATGTAGCTTGAAGTTCATTTATATCGGAGATATTGTGTTTATGAGATTTCAAAACTTTGTTCGTTGCGTCAAGTTCATCTTTGTCAGCTTTACTTTTAATAGCATCTTCAAAAGTTATTTTTGCCTTAACTCTCAAAGTAAATCTTGGTTCAACTAATACACCGTTAACAGAGAAACTAGAAGCATAAATTTCATCGTTATAACCAAATGCTTCTGGTGCTTTACCTGTGTCATACTGTACAGTACAGTTATGTCATAACCTTTAGCACGAATGAATTTATATCTTCTTTCATTAACATCTTCAGTGCATTTGTTCATCCTGTGTTAAATATCCATGGTAATCCGTTATAATCTGTTCGTCTGAACTTATATAATGAACATGGTTTTTATCTGCTTTTTCGGCTAATTTCTCTTCTATCTCATTTATTTCAAGTTCATGCCTACCACCACCTCCCGAAGAAGTATTTTTCTTCAGCTCTTGAAGAACGTCCACTTCGCCATCTTTGGTGTCAATAATGAGACTTTGAGTTAAAACCTTTCCTGTCTTAATGGATGTTTGTAAAACTTCTTCTTCACCGTGTTCGGGTCATGGTCGTCATCATATCTTGTGAAATCAGAGATGTTGTCATACATTAAGCATATCTGTCTCAAAAGTTCTGCTATTTGAAACTGGAACGAAAGATATACAGAACTTTCATCATCTCCTAAAGTCAAGTCTTGCTTTCATAAGTATTTTTGAATGTATGCAATGAGAACAGAGTACCTTGGAAAATATTCGAACAATATTTCATTAGCTGTTGGTTTTGGTGGTTCTTCTGGAGTTTCTGTTGTTTCAGTTCCTTCTGTAGGTTCTGTTGGAGTTTCTGCATCTCTTGACTTCAATGCTCTTGCTTCTCAAAGACCTAAATGTTAGAGCACCAGGTTTTACAAAGGACTTTATAAATGCTTTAATAGTTCCTGGTAAGTTATTGTTAGCATTAAGTAAGTTCCTTATACTTCCATCATGTCACGTCCATAGCACTATGTAAAAACTCTATACTTTTCTTGTAGTCAGCAATAGACTGACTGTGATTTTTTAAAGATTTGTCAATACCTTTAAGCAATCTTCATGCATGTCTGATACTGAGCAAGAAATATCATTTGCTTCCTTTAGTGTATTTTGTGCTTCTCGTAAAGTATCCAATCCCGTACGTGCATTGTTTGCTATACGTCTTACAGTAATCTATTTGACTCCTTGTTTCTTGCATCCAACCAGATAAAGTTTTAATAGTATCAGAACCATTTGAAATGAAGTTCAAAGCATTTTTAACGTCATCTAAAACTTCTTCACCAAGTACTGCCCATATCTTTCCGATTTGGTATTGAAGAACTCCATATGAAGCAGCTGTTAAACCAGTATTTATAAGGTTCCATATCCATGATTTAGCAGTTTTTCCATCCTTCCATCTTCACCATCCAAACCGTTTTCGCCTTGAGGTCCTTGTATTCCTTGTATTCCTTGTATTCCTTGTGGTCTTGAGGTCCGGTGTCACCCTTCTCTCCTTTCAGTTCAGCTTTATATGTTCGTTATAATATTCTAATGTCATAAGGTGTACATCATTACTGCTACCAGCAACGCCGAGAATTTGTTTCTCATTCATGACTAAATTCTTTAGGCATTTAATGTTGTCGTCAAATCGAAGCTCTTTAACAATTCAATGAGAACATTTAATACTTTCACTAATGAGGCATCTACTGTAGAATTTATATATTGCACCGTTCCATCATTTATGATGGGAACCTTGCTTGTTGTAATGAATGGGTCATACGTGTTAAAAGTATCGAAATCAATGACTTTTTTAGTTTTTCCATCGTCAATGACTAAATCATTGCCTTCAATGGTTAAAGTTGAGTTTTCGTTTACTAGTTCATGTGCTCTTCTTGCTTCATTTGTTTCATACGCATATGCAGCAATAGTCATATTTTTAATGAGAATAAAATGTTGTTCTATTTGCAAAGTACAGACCCAAACGAATACGGGACAGTAAAGCTACAAACAAACTTAGGTCTTCAGAATGAAGCGCTTGCTTTCAGAGTTGTTGACTTCAATACTATCGCAACTTTTGTCATAACAGATGAAACAGATTTCATAGAGATTGAAATAGATGACAAAGAAGTGTTATAACATTTCCTAACAGAGCTGGGTATAGAATAGATAAAATTACTGGAGTCATAGATACTCTCATAAATGAAGAAACTATTGACAAACATAGATGTCGAACTCTCTTCTGAGGGAACATTGAAGTTCAGCAGCGAGAAAGAGTTTAAGATACCAAGAAGAGTCATAGAGTTCAATTGCTTCTGGGAGCATACCATATGACATTTCCTTTGAAAAAGTGTTGACAAAACGATTGAGATGAAATCTGTTCCATATGTATGTTATGGCAATTGTTTGTACATTGAGTCAAAAAGCTAATGTCACAGGTATTTCAGGAGTTAATAGTAAAGGTTCAGTAGAATATAAGTTCTTTCTGTTATGCAGTCAATTCAATGTTCATTCCAAACGTTCCTGTCATAGCAACTCATTTAGGTAAATGGGTTCGCATTAGTCCTCATAATTTGAAAGACATGCAATTCAGACTTGTTGACTTTCAAGGAGAGCCTGTAGAACTGAAGGCACCAGTGCGAATGACTGTTGAAGTTGACTTTTTAGAAAATATTAAATGCAACGGCTTACAAGAGAACTCAGAGCTAAAAATATAAAGTATGAATGTTATGTATTAGGTCATGAACTTTGGTTGTTGCTGTTTGATGAAACAAATGAGTTAGTTATGTCAGTCAAGAGAACAGAAAAATATTGTGTTAGTGAAAACTGCACCAAGTCAATAAGATTAGGTTTGCATTATGAAGATGAGTTCGATACTGTTGAAGAAGTTTTGGATAGATATTACAAATTGCTAACTTGAAATTTTTTGACTGACGGCGCAAAGCGCCAAGACCGAAGGTCCTGACTGCTTTAATTTACTAAAACATATTTCAAGCAAAGTTTATATTCTGTTGAAAGTTTTGTATATTCATTCGAATATTTATACTTAAACTCAACTCCTGTAGTTCCTGATGTTTCAATGATGCGGATGTTACCTATTTTCATGAATAGTGGAGTTTGACCACAGCATTCGATTTCAGGGTCGAGATAGTCAATGACACATTGTTTCCCTGTTATTCGTGAGATAACATTTTCAAGGTCCTCCTTTGTTAGAATTATTTGGTTCTTGCTTATAAGATTTGTCAAAAGCTTCTTATCGTCTTTGAGTAAAATTGTTTGGTATAACTGAAGAAGGTAATGGTCTACGTTATCTGAAGGATTTGTTTGAACATTTGTGTAAGGGTTGTCGTTGGCTTCTCTTGAAAGAACTTGGTCCAGTGGTGGATACTCTAACTTAACATCTGATGTAGCGTTAGCGTTTGAAGCTGTGTTTAAATTCACGGCGTCATGCGCCAAGACCGAAGGTCCCGACTTAAGATCTGGTTCTTTTTCTTTCAAACACTCTGAACTATAGTTCTTTATGACAATATTGTTTGTCGTTCGTGAGTCAACATTTGATGTTGGTTCAATTGGAACATTAACGGCACCAGCTAAGATGGATTTGCTTCTCATTTCATATAGAATAAAAACCTTTTATATGTATGAATGAACAATATACTCGACAAGGGTTTGAATGCAAAGCTAACGAATGAAAATATTGTTGAATTCACTGAGACAGGTGCTGTGTATAAAGATGTAGAACTACTGAACAAAAGAGCTAAGGGAAGAAGCAGGAACATGAACAAAGGGTGGAAGCCTATAAAAATTTATGTCAATGATGGCTCAGGAGGTTCAAACATAAAGTATGCAGAAAGTTATAGAGTTTATGCTCTCAAAGGTGAAAAGCCTTCATTTAAGAACAGCTATTCTAACGCATATCCTCAAAAGCTAACGGATGGGAAGTGGATGATATGAATGACAGCAAAAATATTAACAGAAATGGCGACAGAGATGCATGGAATTTGTTTACCATCAGTCAATTGAAGGTTAAACTTTAAAACAATGTTGGTCGTTCCCATGGAATATTTTTGACTTTAATGGTATTAGTCATGATATGAATCTCAAGGTATGAACGAGGAGAGATGATGAGAGACTTATATGCTTCCCAAATTTCTTCAAAAGGTAATGTTATACCTGACTGTTTCCAAATGAGTTCAATATCATAACGTGAGAAACCTTGAAAGATAACGAAGTCAGTTATGAGACGTTTTATGTTTAAAGCTAAAAACCTCCATGTTTGCATAAGTATTGCTACAGTTAAGTGGTAATGTCTGACTTTAGTAATGATGTTAGCTAATGGTGAGTCTGGTTTTGACACTAAACCTTTACCAGCGAAATCATCACAAACTAATAAAGTGTTTGATGGATACTTTTTGAAGGGGTATTTTGAAAGTTTTGACAGAATGTAGTTTGTCAGTCGTTTCATATCGTAAACTCCTGAGTATTGACGTAAGTGTTGTTTGTCAATAATTCTTTCCATCTCCTCAGAAGTCTTTTGCATTCCTGACTGTATAAATTCAACGATGGCATAATATTTCCTCTTACGTCGAATGTAACGTTGAAGAAATTCAATGAGTTCACTGTCTGGAACTTTAACGACAGAGGCTTGAACTTTTGACATAAATGTTTTCGCTGTTGAATCCATAGAGTCTGAAGTTGCTGATATAATGATTTGGTCATAGTAAGAGTCGTTTCCTAAACGCTCTGTTATGAGTATATGACGAATGAGGTTGAATGTCTTTCCTGACCCCATCTTTCCACAATAGAAATACACACCATTTGAACAGAATTCATAATCTTTGCTGAAAGGAAGAATGAGAGAACTGTTGAGCTTTTCACTGCTTTCATTCATGTCTTCATCTACGTCATGTATTAAATGCTTCATTTTATCTCCATTAAAAATGCAAGTCAGAAATATTCAGAACATAGCACTGAGTCTAACTGACAAGAGTATAAAGATATACTATGAACACGTTATGATGAAACCAACCAAAATTCAAGAAAGTCAGTATACTTATGAATATCCAAGACACTGGGTAGAGTATGTAGGAGGTGAGAAAGCTATTGAAATAAGACAAGTTAGAAGTATTCCAGCAGGAAGGACAATATTATTGAAGAACTTTAATGTTTTGAGATATAATGATGAAACAAAGAAGCAAGATAGTTTCCCTGTTGCTGTGTATGTGAACTTAGATACAGGAGATGACATGAAAGTTTTTAATACAAAGCTTCAAACGGTAGTGAGAGAACAACTGACTGCGGAAGGGCATCCATTACCTTCAGAAGTTACCATAGTATATAATTTTGAAACAAACTCAATAGATTTTAAAGTCATCTCTGCAAAGAAGTCAGGTTTTACATTTAATGAAGCAGATGTATATTCGAATGAAAACTTCAAAGCTATTGCATGGTTAGATAATGACGATTGCTTTAAGAAAATATTTAAATACAGTGACTCAACGATGTCAATAGATGACCTTCGTGGAATGTTACCATCGACGTTTACAGTAGAAGGTTCAGCAGGATTGCTTACAAGATTGTCAATTGGTGGTATTTGGTCTCGTGAGAACATTGTTATAAAATCCAGTATAAGTGAATTTGCTGAAGAATCTATATTATGTCTTTCAAACTACATGTATTCGCCGCCGAAGCATTATAGTATAACAAACTTTGTCAGTAAGTTTAACATAAGACTTGTCGAACCTTCTTCAATGAAAGATGTTGTGCTACCCAAAGACGGAAAGGATGGACTCATTATTGAGATGATTTTAATAGCATATTAAATGAGCTTGTTCTTGAAGGTCATTCATGATGAAATAACTGTTGTAGAAGATGTTAGCAATTGTTCAGACATTTTGAAGCGTATAGATGATATAAGAAAGAAGTTAGATAGACCGCAAAGCGGTGAGGGCGAAGCCCGTGAGAACGCTTATGTTTCATTGACTTTCTCCAGTAACGAGAACTTTTATGAGATAATATTGAAGAGAGATGATTTTAATATGGGGTAAATGGTAGTTTGGGCAGCTTTAGGCGCAATGGGAACAAAAGCATTAGCATTTGGAGCAAAAGCACTTGGAGCTTATGACGCAGTAAATAAAATGAGTGGAGGAAGGGTTTCGAAGACATTAGATGCAAATAAAGGGAAGATTGGAGGCTGGGTTGCAAAGAAGTTAAGATTAAATAAAATAGGGCTCATAAATAAAGCATCCAATTTGGTTGCAACTGAGTCAGAAAATGCTTTAGGAAAGGACGATGAGTTTGCAAAACACGCAAAAGACTTTAATGACCAGATGAAAGGTGAAACAATGCATTTAAATAGAGTCGATGGAACTAAAGAAAATGTTTCTTCTCCACCAGTAGTTCTTCCGTATGGTCCCTATGGAATGTATGGAAACCCTTACGAAAGACCATTTGACCCATTGACTGGTGGAAGTAACTGGTATCATTACGGACGAAGAAGAAAGACAGTCAAGTTGGAGACAGACGTGAAGAAAGCAACTAAAAAGAAACCAAGGAAGAGAGTTATAAAGCAATGAATTCAACAGGGTAGAAATGAGGTTAGAAATGAGGTTAGATCTAACCATCTACCCTAAGTTTATTTTTGTGCTATGTTTTCATACGTGTGAGGGTGGTGATATCATTTATTTTTAAGTTTATTTTTTAAGTTTATTTTTTATTTTATTTTGGATGTAATGACGAAAACTATTGAGATAACAAACTACAACGGTCATGAGTTCAAGAATTTGTTCTTCGTTCCTCGTGAAAATACATTCTATCAGATACGAGGGAGAAAGGGTAAAGTTAGTTTGAGCGTTTATGACAACAAACATAATGGGAGATATATAAAAGCAATAGATACAAACGGTAAGCGTGTTTCATTAGCTTTGTCAAAACTTACTAACATTTATTTTGACAGTGACTTTGACTCTGACGATTGGAGTGACAGCAGCGATACTGAAGAATATGAACTATTGTGTGAAGCACAGCAATGGGAAGCGCTGCAATACTTTTGTAAATGAGAACATTAGTGGGAACGTTAGTGAGAACGTTTATTTTTTCATTAGTGAAGTCGTTAGCGAAAATGTTAGTGAGGTGAAGTGGTTGGCGGCTTTGTAAATATTTAAGGTTAAGTTAGTGTTTGTGTTTGTGTTGTAAAATATACGTTACCGGTTTCGTAAAGTGTCAAACCGTTATCTTGGGTAAGGTGGAACGCAGTGCCGCCGTACCCAAGATATGTATACTAACTTGCTTCGCATCTTTCATCAGCATAGGACATTTACCATCTGGGACTCTGTTGATGAAGACTCAGGAGCTCCAAAGCTCCCTTTCGTAAGGATTAGGAGCTTTGGAGCTCCTGGTTCGTAGAAGAGCTTCGCATCTTTCATCATAAGAGGCCCAAATGGTAAATAGCCTCTGCTGATGAGCTTCAGGAGCTCCAAGGCTCCCTCTCGTAACGATTAGGAGCTTTGTAGCTCCTGAAGGTAAGGTAGGATTGCTCTGATCTCTAATCAGTAGATGCCATGCCTCATTATGGACTCTACTGACAAGAGATCAAGAGCTCCAAGGACTCCCTTTTTATCTAGTGGCATTCTCACCATTTAGTAGGATCGCTGATCCTACTAATGAAGTGATCACTTAATGTACGTTTTGAATAAATTGAATTTTTTTTACAAAAATTCAGTATTTTTTATAAACATCACATATATATTATAAATACGTAAATATATTCTTTAATTCAAAAAATTCAATTCGGTTTCGGGCTGGGTATCCCAGCCCCAAGTATTCAATTTTATTCAATTTTTTAAGAATTTTTGGTTGGGATGCCCAGACCAAAACAAACTTTATATTTTGATGTGTAGATACGTATGTGTACATCATTATTGCGTTATATATTATGTTTTTAATGAAAAAAAATCTGATTCAAAAAAAATTATCACTAATTAGTTGATAACATAAAGAAAAAATATATAAATTGTATGTTTTGAGAGTATTTATCCACATTCACTCATATGAATTTCATTAAATAGTGTCTTTTTACTCCCAAATTTATTTTGTATTATTGAAATCAAAGAAAAAACTTAAAAAATTTCTCGAAATTTTTATTTTTAAAAAAAATTTGGATTTTATATTAAAAACTGACACTGGGAGGACGATACGGCTGGGATTAGAGATACCCCGCTCACTTGGGAAAAATACGGATCTATACATGAATTCAAGTCAGTCTTTATCAGCCCACCGCTGAACTGTGTGCTTATAGAATACTCTATATATTATACGTGAATTGTTTCTTGAAATCACTGTTTTCAAAAGATTAATTTGACATTTTTCGAAAATTGCAATTTTTATTCGTTTTGAAACCAATAGTATATCAATTTAAGTCAAACCATTGATCCATTTAAATCCCCGAAAATTCAATTTGATCAAATTTCAAATTTCTATTCCAAGCGGTAAATTTTATACACAATCATATAAGAATACAAAGTAACACAAGATCATCACAAAAATATTGAGAGAGTGTCAGACATCGAGATCAAATTTTGAATGATTTGTCACGAATATGTATAAATTTACATTTTTTGCCAAAAACTGGGGCCACCTGAATCATTAGAAGCCATCACGACTCTTTTTAGTACCAGGAAGCCAAAAAGGAAGTCTGTTCTCCAGGTTTGGACTTCCCGACCTTCTGGAAATATGAGAGAGGTGAATATTGAGGATTTTGCTAATAATGAGGTCAGACCTTCTTGATATATATCATGGCCGTACTCCTGTCTTTCCACCCTAGATTATCGTAAAAAATTGCTTTTACGAATAGAATCAGTGCTGAGAACATAATTATTTTTTATTTCATCTCCAAAAGAATTCTTTTTTGCAACTTGTAAAACAGGAAATTCAGCTACTTCTTTATGATTATTATAACATGTTGAACAATGAAGAGCGGTTTGTCCGTCTCCGTGTTTTCCATTGATATTCGCACCATGAGATACAAGAAATTCAACCAACTCTTTATGATTATTTCCTACTGCATATTGAAGAGGAGTTATTCCATTTCCATCTTTTTCATTGATATTCGCACCATGCGAAACAAGAAGTTCGACAATTTCTTTACTACTATTTGCTACTGCATAATGAAGAGCAGTTTGTTTGTCTCCATTTTTCTTTGTCATTATACATAACATTCCGAAAATTGCTTTTTCTGTTTGAATATCGAGATTTACTGATTCAAATTCTTTCAAATTATCATTTTTGTATAATTTAATTCCATACTCTTTATAAAACAGGAAGCTTGAAATATCTTCAACATTGTTGACATCTGTTACATGAAAATCATCAAATATGCATTTGACAGGTGACAAATATGACTTTGTATAACGATTATTATACGGGATAAAATCTAAAATATCCCTTATAATATTTTTGGGAAGATATTTCATTGATTTAAGCAGTTCTGTTTTGATCATTTTGTATATTGTGTTTAATTCTTCTTTTTCTGTTTTTAGCTGATAAAGCGCAACATATGCATCAATGTAGTATTTATATATACTTCGTAATTCACTACATGCAAAAATCCAAATGCCACACAACATTGAAACTCATTAGAAGAAAAAACTATATGTCAAATATGAGGAAATCGATGATAATAAAGATATCAGATCGAATAGATGAAATTTGATTAACAATATTACTTTTTTATATAAAATATATAGTATTTAATTAGCATATGAGATATATCCGCACGAATATCAATTTAATTTAGAAGAATTGATTCGAAGTGTCACTTTTTTGGCGGCCATCCTTTTTTCCAATGGCACGCAGAACAAAGAAAGTTGGCATCTGTGGCAAGTACGGCGTTCGCTATGGTGCTTCACTTCGTAAGACAATCAAGAAAATCGAAATTTCACAGCGCAAGAAGTATCCATGCGCATTCTGCGGCAAGGATTCAGTCAAGCGTAATGCTGTCGGCATTTGGACATGCACAAAGTGCGGCAAGGCTGTCGCTGGTGGCGCTTACACACCAACAACACCAGCTGCTCTCACAGCTCGTGCTGCTTACAAGCGTATCCGCGAAGCTCAGGCTAAATAAATTCCTTTGATATTAAACCCTATATTTCTCGAAATCAAATCGAATTACTACAATTTATTTTAATAAAAAAGGCTTATTTATTGTGAATCATATATTGATCTATGTTTTTGAATTTTTATGCCATCATAGTGTTTTAAATGAACAGGAGATAGCTTGAACTGTTAAACCAAATGACATTTTGAAACGTTATTTTAAATTAAATATATTTTATTGCATGATGCAGAAATTGAAGTAACACAAAGATAAGATTGGAAAATACATCAAATTTGATGCCATCTAAAAGACTCTTTATAAGTAATATCATGTTCATGATATGCAAAATTATTCCAAAACAAGTGTGAATGAAGATCTGAGAAGTCATGAATCATAAAGATATTAGATTATAAACCAATTTATTGATTTTTTTGAATAAAAATACCGATAGAGAATTTTTTTTTACAAAAAAATGGATTTTCATTATCTTGATGAATATGTCATGTTAATTCTTGATAATGCTGGGCAAACAGCTGAAGAGATCATACCTCTTATTTCTAATATCGGTCCATATGATTTTATTCATGTTTTGAGACAATTCATTGACAAAAGCATTATTCATCTCTCCATTGCAATTGTTAAATTTAAAACCTCAGAGATAGCAGATAAAGCCATCAAATATGGCGCAACACTTCCTTCAATCACTATTATGAAAGCAGATCCCTTTTATTTATACCCAAACATGTCTCTAATTGTAGGCTTGAAGCCAGTTGATGATATGGATTATTATAGAAAGATGTTCTTACCTCTTGGCGTTCAATCATTAAGAGTTTTAGATAAAAACCTAGAAACCGATCCATTTATTCTTATCGCAGGCTTCCTTGATCATTCACAGAAAGCTTTCTTCAAGAAATCAATCAGCGGACTCATTGTTGATGGCAAACAAGTAAATTTGATTCCTCTGCGCCGAACAATCATCGCAAACTGTACGCCGCAGTTCCTCAATGTTCACAATGTCCTATCGATGGAAGCTTACCAAGATTTTACCATTTTCCACTTCGATAAAAAATATAAAGTTTGGAGTGGAGCTCTTTACTCACTTTCTACAGTTGGAATGGAGCTTATGAAGTCAAAGCCTAGTATAAAAGAGATGGCAGCTCCTAAAATCAGAGGTCCTTTCCAAGTTATCGTAAATTACCTCCAAGGAAAGTCAATCGACATCATGGGCATTAACGCTGTCTTCATCTTGACAATGGGCGACGCTTTAGGCATGAAACAGCTCGTTTCGGCAGTAAGTAATTTCATTCATATGGCAAAAGACCCTTATACCTTAATTTCCTTGATCCTTGGCTTCAGCCACCTTGGTCGTGTTCCAGAGCGTCTCATAGATTCCGTTGCAGCCAAGTTTGAAGTGGTTAAGGACTTTCCAACTTTCAATTATCTGAATTCCAACATTTTATCACACGTTATGTCATCACCACGATTTTTGCCAGCCAACGAAACGTCAGTTTTCCGCTGGCTACTTAATTTCATTTCAACTTCCCCTCAAAAATTTACGAGATTAATCAAAAACATCAGAATTGAGCGTTTAGATACGAACAGTTTACTCGAATTTCTCCAATTACCAGCATCGCTTGTCGATTTAAACGATTTCAGGCTTTCATTTGCCAGAATTGGCCTGAAATCGAAATTCCCAGGCCAAGCGAAGCTTCCTATTGGAGAGCCCACGTATACTGTTGATAAGTCTCTCGTATTTAAGCGCCTTCTCATTCCTTCGACGTATTATCACATTGATGGCGGAGATGACTTCGCCGGAATCTGCAACTACTACAGAACTGAGCAGCCAGTAACACCGCGTGGCGATCCATCAATTACAGTTACTGCTTCCAGCGTTTATCATGGAGATCCAAGTATAATTATTCAGAACAAGCCAAATGAATGGTTCGGAACAAACGAAGCTTCTCCATCCTGGGTCATGCTCAGACTCAACTGGGACAGAGCAGTAATCACTGGCTATTCCGTGAAAACTCACTCAGAAAGTGGAAGAGGACACATAAATAATTGGTCGGTCAGCGGCTCAAATAACGGTGAAACGTGGACATTGATCGATAAACAGGTTTCCAACGATTGTTTGAATGGTCCTGGCAAATCTGCTTACTTCCACCTTCAGCAGCCAACGCAGCCATTCAAATACATTAAGTTTAACCAGGATAGAGCTAATCCTCTTGGTTACTTCGCTCTCTCTATTTCAAGATTCGAAATTTTTGGTTCTCTTCAATGAAATTTTTAAATTGTTTGTTTTATTTTATATTATTTTTGTGTTTTATTGTTATTGAGATAATGATTTCATTTTGTTACAAACTTACATTCACAAATTTAATAATTCCTGCAAGACCTTTAAAATTATACATGGGCAAATGGCGGGTTATTTGCCCTTCACATTCAATATGAATGATAGGCAGGGAAATAAAAGTTTTTGAGGTTTTTAGGGGGCGGAATCATCATCATAGGGTTGTTAGATTCCCGACGATAGGTGTCTTGGAAGATTTGCCTGGTGTCATCATAGTGTCTTTAAATCAAAAATTTTATTTTGGAGTTAGTTTTATTGATTTTTCAATAAAAAACATTTCTAAAACAAGAAAATAAAACAATAAAATATTTATATTTTATATAAGGATCTTATATATTTAAAATAAATATCATTTTATTTTTTTTCATTGGTGTCTGTCAAACCATAATACACTATTCAAAAATTCAATGTGTCTTGCGGTTTCAAAAGACACCTTCAAATTGAACGATAGCACAGACACTATTGAATTTTACCCATTTTATTTAGTTTTTACCCTTTTTATTTTTAAGAATTAATGACTGAAACACAAGATGAATATGAATCCAAATTTGAGGGATGGATTGATTGCAAACTTCCTCCCAAAAATATCCCTCGAAAAGTACCTCCCTTACCAAAATTCGAGGATACTAAATTCTCAACTAATAATAAATGTCGAGTATGTTTCAATATTGCTTATCTTCCAGATACAAGCGAAAAATCGAAAGAACGAAAAAGACTTTATTGTTATTGTTTAGCGATACATTACAATTTACTAACAAAAACATATATGCGCTGCATTTATCATCGAAAACCATCAGAATTTGATGAAGATCATCAGCATATATATCAAATACAATGTGAAAATAATCCATATACGAGAAGAGATTTAATAAAACAAGATAGAAAATTACTTTATGTTGTAAAATTTGTTGTGGATACCAACATGTCAATCAATATGGCCGCTTCAGGTGTACTAGAAGATTTCGCCCGACATGTCTACTCCACCTTCAAGGGAGTAATCAATTTTCAACTCAAGATCCCATATAGAAGAGACGAGATAAGGGATGGAATCATTACATTAGCCGACTTGGTAGCTCCAAAAATACACGTTGAGCTTGACAAGATGGGCTACTATTCGATAACAATTGATGCGGCATCACACGGAAGCCGGCATGGCTTTTTTGTGATGGCTAGCAATCCAGCAAAAATGAAGAACCATATCTTCATTGATACTATGATCGCTGATGGTTGGAATGCCAGGGATTACAATAATTTCTTTGAATGTTTTACCTTCCCAAAGGATTTCCTTTCTGCAATTGTTGCCGATGGATGCCCCGCCCAAGTTAAAGGGCTGTGCCACTGGAGGAGATGCGGAGCACTATATCCGGGTCTTCAAACCGTTTATATCCGATGTGTTGCGCATCTCCTCAACTTAGTGGAGTTAGTATCCCTAAGTGGTGTACTGTGGCACTGCGCGCCTCCGTACGCAACTTAGCGGTTTTGACACTTTACGAAACCGGTAACGTATATTTTACAACACAACCATAACACAACTTAACCTTAAATATTTACAAAACCATCTGACACATAAACAACTTCACTAACGACTTCACTAACGACTTCACTAATGACTTCACTACCGTCCTCACTAAATAAAAAATAACCTTATTTTTATTTTTTTTAAATTTTTTATTTCATTACAAAGACATGTCTGACTACATTTACTATGACTCTTTCCCAGAACGTTTCCGTGAACTATTCAAAACTCAAGTAAAACTGAGAAACATGCATTTTAACAAAGACAGACCCATTGACGATGAAAGAAACCCTGAATATATTACAATCCCTTATGATGCTAAATTTATTGCATACATTCCTTATGGTCGCAGAGGAACGAAAACTATTTCAACAAAGAACAAAAATTATTTCTGGAGCGATGAAGAAAATTGCCTTATCTACATAATTTTAAATAAAGCTACATATTGTACAAAAGAAGGTTGGACTGGATTTGAGCTCTACATATACGACGACGATGGAAACAGACGTTGTGTATACCCATACGATAATATGTACCATTGTTTTCATCAAGCATTAAACGAATACATAGTCAGTAAGGGTCTCATTCCTGTTGAGTAGATATGCTTTATTTTTGTTCTGTCATTTATAAAAAATAAACTTAAAAATTAATGATATCACCACCCTCACACGTATGAAAACATAGCGCAAAAATAAATTTAGGGTAGAAGGGTAGATCTAACCTCATTTCTACCCTCATTTCTAACCTTGTTGAATTCATTGCTTTATAACTCTCTTCCTTGGTTTCTTTTTAGTTGCTTTCTTTACGTCCGTCTCCAACTTGACTATCTTTCTTCTTCGTCCGTAATGATACCAGTTACTTCCACCAGTCAATGGGTCAAATGGTCGTTCATAAGGGTTTCCATACATTCCATAAGGTCCGTATGGATAAACCGCTGGTGGAGAAGAAACATTTTCTTTAGTTCCATCGACTCTATTTAAATGCATTGTTTCACCTTTCATCTGGTCATTAAAGTCTTTTGCGTGTTTTGCAAACTCATCGTCCTTTCCTAAAGCATTTTCTGACTCAGTTGCAACCAAATTGGATGCTTTATTTATGAGCCCTATTTTATTTAATCTTAACTTCTTTGCAACCCAGCCTCCAATCTTCCCTTTATTTGCATCTAATGTCTTCGAAACCCTTCCTCCACTCATTTTATTTACTGCGTCATAAGCTCCAAGTGCTTTTGCTCCAAATGCTAATGCTTTTGTTCCCATTGCGCCTAAAGCTGCCCAAGCTACCATTTACCCCATATTAAAATCATCTCTCTTCAATATTATCTCATAAAAGTTCTCGTTACTGGAGAAAGTCAATGAAACATAAACATTCTCACGGGCTTCGCCCTCACCGCTTTGCGGTCTATCTAACTTCTTTCTTATATCATCTATACGCTTCAAAATGTCTGAACAATTGCTAACATCTTCTACAACAGTTATTTCATCATGAATGACCTTCAAGAACAAGCTCATTTAATATGCTATTAAAATCATCTCAATAATGAGTCCATCCTTTCCGTCTTTGGGTAGCACAACATCTTTCATTGAAGAAGGTTCGACAAGTCTTATGTTAAACTTACTGACAAAGTTTGTTATACTATAATGCTTCGGCGGCGAATACATGTAGTTTGAAAGACATAATATAGATTCTTCAGCAAATTCACTTATACTGGATTTTATAACAATGTTCTCACGAGACCAAATACCACCAATTGACAATCTTGTAAGCAATCCTGCTGAGCCTTCAACTGTAAACGTCGATGGTAACATTCCACGAAGGTCATCTATTGACATCGTTGAGTTACTGTATTTAAATATTTTCTTAAAGCAATCGTCATTATCTAACCATGCAATAGCTTTGAAGTTTTCATTCGAATATACATCTGCTTCATTAAATGTAAAACCTGACTTCTTTGCAGAGATGACTTTAAAATCTATTGAGTTTGTTTCAAAATTATATGCTATGGTAACTTCTGAAGGTAATGGATGCCCTTCCGCAGTCAGTTGTTCTCTCACTACCGTTTGAAGCTTTGTATTAAAAACTTTCATGTCATCTCCTGTGTCTAGGTTCACATACACAGCAACAGGGAAACTATCTTGCTTCTTTGTTTCATCATTATATCTCAAAACATTAAAGTTCTTCAATAATATTGTCCTTCCTGCTGGAATACTTCTAACTTGTCTTATTTCAATAGCTTTCTCACCTCCTACATACTCTACCCAGTGTCTTGGATATTCATAAGTATACTGACTTTCTTGAATTTTGGTTGGTTTCATCATAACGTGTTCATAGTATATCTTTATACTCTTGTCAGTTAGACTCGGTGCTATGTTCTGAATATTTCTGACTTGCATTTTTAATGGAGATAAAATGAAGCATTTAATACATGACGTAGATGAAGACATGAATGAAACTACAGACAAACTTAACTCTTCTCTTATTCTTCCTTTCAGCAAAGATTATGAATTCTGTTCAAATGGTGTGTATTTCTATTGTGGAAAGATGGGTTCAGGTAAGACATTTAACCTCATTCGTCATATACTCATAACAGAGCGTTTAGGAAACGACTCTTACTATGACCAAATCATTATATCAGCAACTTCAGACTCTATGGACTCAACAGCGAAAACATTTATGTCAAAAGTTCAAGCCTCTGTCGTTAAAGTTCCAGACAGTGAACTCATTGAATTTCTTCAACGTTACATTCGACGTAAGAGAAAATATTATGCCATCGTTGAATTTATACAGTCAGGAATGCAAAAGACTTCAGAAGAGATGGAAAGAATTATTGACAAACACCACTTACGTCAGTACTCAGGAGTTTACGATATGAAACGACTTACAAACTACATTCTGTCAAAACTTTCAAAATACCCCTTCAAAAAGTATCCTTCAAACACTCTGCTCGTTTGTGACGACTTCGCCGGAAAAGGTTTAGTGTCAAAACCAGACTCACCATTAGCTAACATCATAACTAAAGTCAGACATTACCATTAACTGTAGCAATACTTATGCAAACATGGCGTTTCTTGCTTTAAACATAAAACGTCTCATAACTGACTTCGTTATCTTTCAAGGTTTCTCACGCTATGATATTGAACTCATTTGGAAACAGTCAGGTATAACATTACCTTTTGAAGAAATTTGGGAAGCATATAAGTCTCTCATCTCTCCTCGTTCATACCTTGAGATTCATATCATGACTAATACCATTAAAGTCAAAAATATTCCATGGGAACGACCAACATTGTTTTAAAGTTTAACCTTCAATTGACTGATGGTAAACAAATTCCATGCATCTCTGTCGCCATTTCTGTTAATATTTTTGCTGTCATTCATATCATCCACTTCCCCATCCGTTAGCTTTTGAGGATATGCGTTAGAATAGCTGTTCTTAAATGAAGGCTTTTCACCTTTGAGAGCATAAACTCTATAACTTTCTGCATACTTTATGTTTGAACCTCCTGAGCCATCATTGACATAAATTTTTATAGGCTTCCACCCTTTGTTCATATTCCTGCTTCTTCCCTTAGCTCTTTTGTTCAGTAGTTCTACATCTTTATACACAGCTCCTGTCTCAGTGAATTCAACAATATTTTCATTCGTTAGCTTTACATTCAAACCCTTGTCGAGTATATTGTTCATTTCATACATATAAAAGGTTTTTATTCTATATGAAATGAGAAGCAAATCCATCTTAGCTGGTGCCGTTAATGTTCCAATTGAACCAACATCAAATGTTGACTCACGAACGACAAACAATATTGTCATAAAGAACTATAGTTCAGAGTGTTTGAAAGAAAAAGAACCAGAACTGAAATCCGTGAATTTAAACACAGCTTCAAACGCTAACGCTACATCAGATGTTAAGTTAGAGTATCCACCACTGGACCAAATTCTTTCAAGAGAAGCCAACGACAACCCTTACACAAATGTTCAAACAAATCCTTCAGATAACGTAGACCATTACCTTCTTCAGTTATACCAAACAATTTTACTCAAAGACGATAAGAAGCTTTTGACAAATCTTATAAGTAAGAACCAAATAATTCTAACAAAGGAGGACCTTGAAAATGTTATCTCACGAATAACAGGGAAACAATGTGTCATTGACTATCTCGACCCTGAAATCGAATGCTGTGGTCAAACTCCAATATTCATGAAAATAGGTAACATCCGCATCATTGAAACACCAGGTACTCCAGGAGTTGAGTTTAAGTATAAATATTCGAACGAGTATACAAAACTATCTACTTACTATAAGCTTTGTTTGAAATATGTTTTAGTAAATTAAAGCAATTTGTAATATCTATCCAAAACTTCTTCAACAGTATCGAACTCATCTTCATAATGCAAACCTAATCTTATTGACTTGGTGCAGTTTTCACTAACACAATATTTTTCTGTTCTCTTGACTGACATAACTAACTCATTTGTTTCATCAAACAGCAACAACCAAAGTTCATGACCTAATACATAACATTCATACTTTATATTTTTAGCTCTGAGTTCTCTTGTAAGCTGTTGCATTTAATATTTTCTAAAAAGTCAACTTCAACAGTCATTCGCACTGGTGCCTTCAGTTCTACAGGCTCTCCTTGAAAGTCAACAAGTCTGAATTGCATGTCTTTCAAATTATGAGGACTAATGCGAACCCATTTACCTAAATGAGTTGCTATGACAGGAACGTTTGGAATGAACATTGAATTTACTTCATAACAGAAGGATTTATATTCTACTGAACCTTTACTATTAACTCCTGAAATACCTGTGACATTAGCTATTTTTGACTCAATGTACAAACAATTGCCATAACATACGTATGGAACAGATTTCATCTCAATCGTTTTGTCAACACTTTTCAAAGGAAATGTCATATGGTATGCTCCCAAAAGAAGTTGTACTCTATGACTCATTCTTGGTATCTTAAACTCTTTCGCATAACTGAACTTCAAAACTCCTGCAATAAGTTTAACATTCATTAAGTTTTCTCCGTTATCCTTGTTTATTGTAGTATTTATGAGAGCATTTAACACTCCAGCTAATGTTTCCATCTTATATTCTACATTATTGTGAAATCTTATTTCGTGCTTCTTTCCATCTATTTCAAGCTCCATGAAATCTGTTTCGTCAGTTATAACGAATGAAGCAATAGTATTAAAGTCAACCATTCTGAATGCAAGTGGCTCATTCTGTAGACCTAAGTTTGTTTGTAGTTTTACTGTCCCGTATTCGTTTGGGTCTGTACTTTGCAAATAGAACAACATTTTATTCTCATTAAAATATGAGTATAGCTGCATATGCGTATGAAGCTGACAGAGCTAAACGTTTATATTTTGGTCAATACTCTCTCACACTTACTGACAAATATATTGTTATCAGTGATGGAAATACCGAGAAATACATAACATGGAAGGACTATGAAAAGTTTGACCCCATTTTAACTCCATGCACTATGCCATTCATTGTAAATGGTGAAGTTGTCATGAAGAACGACACAACAGTATATAAGTCTGTTCATGAAGCGTTAGAATATATGTTGAATTATAATCCCGAAAGATTTGACCCAAGCACTACGCCATGTACAATGCCTTTTATTAAGGATGGTGAAATCGTAAGAGTTCCGGATTCAACGGTTTACACAGCTGTTCAAAACAGTTTACAAAACATTTTAGCGAATATCTTTAATTCAGAAACTACAGAAATAAAATTACCATATATAACAGATGCTAAAGAAATTAAATCAAAAACGACAACATTATTTACGTCACTTAATGATTTAATGACTTATATCATTAATATTCCTGCACCAACTATAGCATTTGATCCAAACTCGACGGTTTGCAGTGTACCTTTCATAAATGACAGTTCATTAATTACTTTAAGGGATTCGACAGTAAATGAATCATTAAAGGCGTCATTAATGAAAATCATTGATTTTAATTCATTCATGAATACATATAATTCATTCATTAATGTTTCATATGCTTCTAAAGAAGGTGAGCCAAAAACTATCGATAAAGCGGTGTATGAAATAAAAGCATCAACGACGAAATTGAATTCGTTAACTTTTGACGGTGATAGTTTCGTTAATGACATAACATCGGGGAAAACAATTTTAACGAAAGAATATTTAAAATCTCATGTTAGTGAGTTCGTTGAAATTGAAAAAGAAGGTGGAATTAAGTTCGATCCACTGAATTTCATTTTCAGCTTAGCGAATGCGGGTGTTAGTTTCGCTGAATGGACAACTATACAGAGTGAAATAAATGCAATATGGACGTTTTTGGGGTCAAAAGCGGGAATGGGTGAGCTTGTAAATGCTGCAAGAACATTAGGTGAAACAGGAAATTTTGTAGATGGTTTTAAAAGACTTGTTTCAAATGTTTTAACAAACACAAAGAAATTATTTAGATATACCGTACATAACGGACGGATTTTCGAACAGATAGCAACAAACCCTCCGGTTATGGCTGCGTTGATGATGGTTAGAGATATAAAACCACGTAACGACGGGAACGAAGAACATGAACAACAGGATACTGGTCGGGTTATTCGAGACATTAAAAACGTGTATCCTGAAGTTATTGATTTATTTAGAGGAGTTAATGATTCAATTTCAAAACATTCTATAACCCTCGATGAAGAGAATAAATTAACAGATTATATATTCGTCATTATTGCAGAATTAATGAAGAGAATAAATGAAAAAGGAATTGGTGATATCATTAATGTCAGCGATGTAATGATGAAAAGAAATTTTGACTCATTATTTACAAAACCGAAAACAGAATATAGTCTTTATGACGTAATTACCGAATTAATGAAAAAGATTAATGATAATAAGAGTTCTGGCGGAAGAGTTGAATTAGAAGTGAATGATGTTAATGAGAAATTAGCCGAAAAAGCAAACAAAAATGAGCTTTTAGCTCTGAGTGATAAAGTCAAGAACCACGTTCATTATATAACTTCAGACGAACAGATTATAACGAACTACCATGGATATTTAACACGAAGTGATGAAGCGAAGACAAAAAATGTTAATGAAAGAAGATATAAATACATTCGTGCTAAAGGTTATGACATAAGCTGTACTGTACAGTATGATGTAGCTAAAGCACCAGAAGCATTTGGTTATACCGGTGAAATTTATGCCTCTACTTTCAATGTTAACGGTGTATTAGTTGAACCAAGATTTACTTTGAGAGTTAAGTCAAAAATAACGTTTGAAGATGCTATTAAAAGTAAAGCTGACAAAGTTGAACTTGAAGCAATGAACAAAGTTTTGAAATCTCATAAACACAACATCTCCGATATAAATGAACTTCAAGCTACATTAGACAGTAAAGCCGACAAGAACCATACACATAAATCCTTCACTACTGTTAGAGCAGACGACATAATATTGAACTATACCCTTGGTTCAAGTGCACCTTTAGAGAATCCAAGTACAAGCGTAAAAGATACACTAAACAATTTAGATAACAGTTGCAGGAATATTGAAGGTCATGCCAGAAACTTTGAAGCACATGAACTACCAGCAATGTTAGATAAGAAAGCCGACAAAACTTATGTAGATGAAAATTATGCAAAGAAGTCGGAAGTAAATGCTGCGCTTAATGGAAAAGCCGATAAAGAGCACGTGCATGAAGAATTTCAAACAATCAAGATTAAAGAAATTAAGGCATGCATCGAAATAGTAACAAAAACAGGAAGAGACGGTGCAACTGTACAAGAACAAAGAATTTATCCTCCTACTTTTCCTAATGGTTTAATAACAAACAATATAAATATTGTAGAAGGCAATAAAACTATAAACGTTAAACATGAACTTCTAACAATGAAGGCCCAGATTCTTGAAACCATATATCCTATAGGCTCTATTTATACGTCAATGAACTCAACAAATCCGGCAAGTGTTTTAGGTTTTGGTACGTGGGAACAGATTGTAGATAAATTCCTCTATTGTGCGAACTCTTCAAAGCAAACAGGTGGTTCGAAGAAAATTACTGAAGCAAACCTTCCACCGCACACTCATACAGGAACTACAAACACAACAGGTAGTCATTCACATTCAATAACAAAAAGAGGTTATACAAATCTTGCAGCAGGTTCGGATAGACAGGAATGCATGCATAGATATGATATTTCAAGTGACCCAGTAGATTCAAGCACAGGTATTTTCTGTGGAACCGCAGGAAATCATTCACACACTTTCACAACAAATCCAACAGGCTCGGGTGCAGATTATATGCCACCATTTGTGACTATATTCGCATGGTACCGCGTTCAATGAACGCGCTTGAGCCTAGAATAAAATCTTTAACTTTACATAAATGAGCTTGAAAGAAGTATTCGAACAACATCCATGGAGGTCATTTAAGAAGTTCAATGAAGCTGCAAAGAGTTGGGGATTTACTAACAGAGCTGAAGTGAAAAGGTTCTTTGACAAAAATGTTGTACATCAAACAAAAATAAACCCTTACGACTACTTTTTACCAATTTACTCCAACACTCCTGACGCATACCAATTTGACACTCTCATTCAAAGCAGAAAAGGAGGACATAACCCATTCCTCATCTTCATTAATGTTAACACTCGTAAAGCATATGCATATCCAATGAAAAATAAAGGAACTCGTGAAGTGTTAAGAGTTTTACAAAAGTTTGTAGCAGAACATAGCCCAAGTACTTTAACATCAGACCAAGACAGTGCATATCTCAGCAATGAAATCACAGATTTTCTCATTAAGCATAACATAACTCACTACACTACTGAAGACCATAACCATAACATACTCGGCATCATAAACCGCTTCATAAGGACTCTCAGAGATTTAAACCAAGAGCGAGACTTTACCGAAGAAACAATAAAACATTTTCTCGAAGTATATAATTCCTCAACACATTCTACAACAGGATATACACCAAATTCAATGACACAACAACAAGAAGAAAAGTATATACAAAAGAAACGAAGTCAAACGCAAAATATCAGAAATTCAACACAATTTACCCTCATTCCTGGTACAAAAGTTCGTGTAGTTCTTGACGACAAACCGTTGACAAAGAAACGTTTAAGGTTAAGTCGAAATTATTATATCGTAGACTCTACGCAAGGTAATGGATATCTTATAAAAGCTGCTGACGACTCCATAGCATTTTACCCTCGTCATAAATTAGTCGAAAGTAGTAATGGCAAACTTGCTGAAACCATTGACGAAGCAAAGCGAGGAGTGGTTATTGAAATACTTGGCTACAACACAAACGATGACACTTATAAAGTAAGATATGAAGGAGGCGTTGAAGATGTTATACCATCTAAGAACTTGAGAGAATCTAAACCAACACATCTGGGTCCATTAGAGCGGGAGTACTGGAAAGACAAAAATATGCCAGAAAGAATAAGAAAATTCTTCTAAACTTTTTCATTAGATGTAAATCAGACATGAATGAGAACAGTCATGATATCATTAATGGTACCATTTATTTTAACATAAAGACGCAAACGGACTCTTTGAGTCCTGAGGTCTTTCAGACCGAAGCGGCGAGGACGAAGTCCATGACCAAAAATAATGTTTAGGGTAGATGGTTAGATCTACCCTCATTTCTACCCTCATTTCTAACCTCATTTTTTGTATTTGACGGGAATTAATTCTTGATTTCAGGGATTTTTTGACGAAGTGCAAATCTTCACTTCGTCAAAAATAACAGTTATCTACCCTCATTTCTACCCTCAGCCGCTAAGCGGCGAGACCCAAAGGTCTTGAATTTTCATGAATTTCCTTAAGATGAAAAAAATAAAGTTAGTTTTATTTTTATTTATTTTTTTATTTTGTATAAAAGATATGATTTCAACAATCGGCACAACAACAATTCAAACAACAGCACCAAATTCGTTAGTCATGAATCCAACATCTATGTTAGTAGAGATGAAAAGCTTTATTCCTTCTTCATATACTTTTGAAACAAAAATCCAGAAGATAAAGCAAGAACTTTTAACAAGTAATTTAGACTGTACCGCACAGGATGAAGAAAATGAAGAATATCTTTATGACATGCAGGACATTATTGACCATTTACCCAAATTGCCTGAAATCCAACAACAAAAGCTCACTATTCATGAATTCGATGAAATAGAAGTGAAACCAACTGACTCAGTAGAAATAAAGAAGTTCATACGTAAAGTAAATTATGAGTTTCTAGGATATCATTGCAACCATAAAGTTATGGACAAAGATTGCGACATGGTATATAAGAACATCTCTGACATATATAAATCCGAAGAATTTAAGACATACGACAACTTTGTTTCATTAGTTGCAGAATGTGTATGGCAGATAAGAGATAAAGATAGAAGAGGTAAGGTATGGAATGAACAGATAAAACCAACTGCTTTTGAGTTAAAGAAAACCATTGACGCCTTAGTTGTTCTAGCAGGTCAAATTTCAATGTATAACGCAAAAATGAATCCACAATGTTCTAAATGTAAAGCAGCAATGAGGAAATATAACTACTCCGTCAAAGAGATAGAACGTATGAGAAACGACTATGCTGACTTAAAGAAAGAAGTAGAGAAACCAGCAGAAGATAAAATGGACATGTTAGCATTTCTGAACAAAAACTATCCAACTGCTGACGATTTCCTATTATCTGACGTCAAGAAGAAGTATAAAAAACCTTCGGCATTGTTAAAACATTCGATGTACTAAAAGAAGAAATAGAAGCTACAAAACTGTTTAGAATCTCACGAATTCATAACGTATATCATGTAAAATGTTTATAAAATAACTGGGGTAGAAATGAGGGTAGAAATGAGGTTAGATCTAACCATCTACCCTAATATATTTTTGCTGAATTCAACACAAAAATAATGAATTTCCTTAAGATAGAAAAAAATAAAGTTAGTTTTATTTTTTTCTAACTTTTTATCTTGTATGTAAGAACAGAAATGTCAGTCGAAGCAAAAACAATTCACTAACAAATATAATGGCGAAACATTCACAAAAGGCATTATAACGGTATTGAAGTCTTACGTAGAGACAAGGATGGTTACATTAATGCAACAAAGATGTGTCAGCAGTTTAGGAAAGACTTTAGAAAGTTGTTGGAAAATAAGTCCTGGGAAGAGTATTATAAGGCATTTTGTGAAGAATATAGCAACCGCCGGAATTCAGACGGTTGTTTTTATACAAAAATTCATGCAGGAATTCCTGATGAAATCAAACAGGTTAGAGGAACGTATGTAGACCAAGACTTATAAACTACTTATAGCAATGTGGGCTTCTCCAAAATATTGCATAGCAGTTGGAAAAATTATGGACCCATAGACAAGAAAGTTCATGAGAAGTTAGATGAAGAAGAACTCGAAGATACAGTAGAGAATGCTAAACCTTGTTCGAACAAGAAGTTGGAAAAATGTGCGCGAAAAACAATTAGAACATGAACGTGAGATATGTTATGATTATAGAGATTCTCCATACGAACTAGACCAATGGAACAAGAAGATTTAAAGAGAGAATTTAGAGAATATGAACTCGCTAAGATAGCATTAGAAGCTGCAGAAAAGAAGTTAAAAGTTTGGGGTCGTTTTGTACAAAAATATTGTGAGTAAATGAACTCATTATTTTTGCTGAATTCAGCACAAAATTCTGAGTAAAATGACATATGGCACGTGTCAAACCGTTGAGTTTTCACATATGTAAACATGAATTTTTAACATTTCTTTAACACAGAAAATAAAGTTAGTTTTATTTTTATTTATTTTTTATTTTGTATGTAAAGACAGTAATGACAACATCAGAGAACACAACAACAGTTATAGTCCATGAAGCTATAAATGAAGAATACGAATACATACAGTATAACAAACAGTTACGTCTCATTCGTTCGGTCAAAGATGACATGTACCAAATGCAAAGTATAATGAATGCTCTTCGTTCTACAAAGCAAGCATATCATTGGTTTGAAAAACCAACAGACAAAAGAACTTTTAGAAGAATTTCCTCATATGATTGCTTCCCTCGGAAAACCGAGAGAAGAGATTCCGTACGAAAATCGCAAGAATTTGGCTCCTGGTTTGAAAGGTTATTATGTTCATAGACTTTTAGTAAACGCTGTAGCAATATTGGGCTTCACCTCGTTATGCTTGTTATATTTTCATGATGTTAGATGAACTATATAAAGCAGAACGTGGAGAGATGGAAAAGAAACTTCAAGCAAAAGATGAAGTCATTGAATCCAAAGACAAAAGCATACAGAAAAGAATACGCGTTCAGTACCAAAAGGAAAGGAAAAGAGTTATAAGTATATGATATATACTGAAGAGTTGGAGAAGAAAAGAAGATAAAGATATGGTTATGTTGCATTTAGTCAGAAGAAACAACAAAAGCTTTTACGACCTTGCTAAAATATATAAATCTGACAGAAACTGGTTCTATCGTGAAAACTTACCGATTTCAATGACACCGAATGAGCAAATAAAGGAAATTGTCAAAAATACTCTTCCTCAAACACACTATGACATCAAAGGTTGCACAATACTTACCTTCAAAGAAGACTTACCATTACTGAAGGAAAAAATAACAGAATATTTCGATAAACTAACTTCAAAGAGGAAGAATAAAGTCACGACAACATTAACGAAGAAGTCACGACAACATTAACGAAGAGAGAATGAGGTGAAAAAAGAGGTGAAAAAACGGAGTGAGATCTCACCTCTTCACCAAAAAATATATTTTTGCTTAAATAACTTCAGGGTCTATTTCTTCAACCATTTCACTTCTTCGTCAATGTCAATAGAAGCTTCTTCAACCTTTGGTAAGAATTTCTGTATAACATCTTTGTTCGTTATTGTCTTCAGAGATGAAGGATAATATTTCACAGATTTTTTTCACCCTTCTTATATTCTTTCTGTTCGGAAAGATTTAAATCAATACTGAAGAAGTCAATATTAGAGTTCTTTATAACAGTATAATGAGTATCTTTGACATTCACGAAGAAACTCTTTTGTTTCAAAACTACTGCTAACTCTTGTGAAGTATAACGTTTGCGGTCAATGACGATAGCTAATGGTCTGACATACTGACCAAACTTAGATTCTTTCACAAACTTCTTGTTAAAGATAACATTAACATTTGAAGCATTATTGAACTCATTCTTGATGGCAGTAGCGAGAGCATTGTATGAAAAGAACTTGCAATCTTGCATGTGTTTCATTAAAATAAAAATATTAAATTATTTTGAAAAATAACTTAAAAAAATCTAATCTAATTTTTTCAAAAAATATTTTTTTATCCGATAGAAAAGATGACAGAAAAATTAACTTTTTACATAGCGCCAGACCCTTCTTGCCCACATCTTTTTAAGCCACAATATATAGACATAGAACTAAATAGAGAAAGCGAAATTCTACAAACAGAAGAAACATATAGAGACCTAGATAACGAAAATGGATATGCGCTATTCTGGTTAGATTGTCCTTATGAAATGTATGAAAAAAAAGGCTTTATATGAAGAATATAGAAATATTGTTATGAAAACGATATAAGACCAAGCTCTAGAGAAAATTCTATGCTGGTATAAAACATCTTTTCGAAGTTCGGAATGGCAAATATAGAAAGAAATAATTTTTCTAATCTAATTTTTCAAAAAATATTTTTTTATTTCCTACTAAGATGTATCGGAAGTTGTCTAAGTTAGAACACTCGGAAATAAAACAACTTCTAACAGAAGCTAACATAGATGTTGCAAAACATTACGCAACAAACAAAAAAGCACTCGCTGACATCCTCAATGACTATAATGGTGCAATAAGTTATGATAGAATTCATGAGTTCATAAAGCGCGCAACGCGGCGAGGACGAAGTCCATGCAAGAGCATTTCCTTTAAATGACGTTGCTATTGACTTATATCATAGACGTTCAGTACCTCATGAAGTAAGAAGAGAAATGTTTGACATAACAAATGCAAACGTTGGTGAAACAAGAAGAAGAGACGACACACTGAAACAACAGAGAAGAGAGATGTTTAAGAGCGCTATAGAACAAGTTCGCAAAGCTAACGATGTCCTTCGTTCAATGACGCAAACCAAAGAAGGTGAGAGATGGTTAAAGAAAGATGAAGAGAATAGGAAGAGGAATGTTAAGACAGGCAATAGACTCATTGACTTTAACATCGAAGCTTTAGATGAACCAAACAGAGACTACTTACACAAACATTTCGGTAAGGTTTTCATGAGACTCTTAGAGAAGATTAAAATAAACTCCCAACAGAGATGGATGGTATGTTATAAACTTGGTGGAAAGTATGAATTTCTACGTTAAACCTCAATAATATTGGAACATTACTACATCAGCTCTTGAAGGAGAACTTTATATCAGAGATAGAAAGCAAATGCTGCAGGTATTGTTGAAATGCACTATGACTTCTTCTTGACAAACATAAAGAATCTTACTGAAATAAAGATGTATGATTTAACAGAATATGAAGGCTTAACGATGTCAGATGTAAAGAAAGGCAAACCAAAAAAGAGACCATATAGAGATGAAAGACACTGACAGAAAGACAGAAAAGATTATTGAACAGACTTAAACAAACAGGAGATAAACAAGATATAGATGACTTCTGGAATGAAATCCTTGGTGAAAAGAAGTTTTATAAGAAGAGAAGCGGTCAGTTCTGGAAGTATCTTTGCACATTACTATAAATCTTGAAACGCTACCAAATCTTCAATGAACTGAACAAAAGAACTGCAACACTTATGACAGAAGATAACTGCTTCGTTTATGCTTGCATTCAGGCTGGAGTAAATGAAGAAACTATTGACCACATGAGAGAAGTCATTCGTGTTAGAGACTTTCCTCAAAGTAAAGTACAAGAAATTTCTGACGCAACAGTATAGCATTTAATGTTACCATTGGTTACTTCAATGACTCAAGACATAATGAAATAAAGAGATACATACCAAAAGAATGTGAAACTGTTCGAACTATTGACTTACTTCTTGTTGAAGACCACTACATGTTAAATGAAAGACTTCCAATGACAACATATTTCATTCGAAACTATAAAGAAATTCTCAAAGCTTGTGGTGGAATGAACATTGAGAAACAGATGAAGATTTATAAAAGAGGAAGATAAATATGTAGTTCGCATGGATAGAACTACACCGCTATGGGATGTTATGAAAACATTGTGGGAGTGCAAATATTTCGAACCTATTTCTTATGGAGAACTTTCACATATACGACTGACTTATATAAAACAGAACCTTGCACCATTTAAAGATTTGACATATGCCCAAAGTATTGTGTACAACTGAAGAAGAAAGCCGAGTCAAAAGAAGTAAATAAAAATAAGTGTAAGTTCATTCCTGAGCATGTTTTCTTTGCTGACTTTGAGTGTAGCACAGACGGCTTTCATAAAGCTTTTAACATCTGTTACGACAGTGAAGATGGTTCAGTGAGTGAAAGCATTTGGGGTCAGAACTGTGCAAC